CCATCCCCGAGGGAGGGCAGCAACACCAGTTGTGCAATTCTATCTCCCTGCTTTATAGAAAATACACCCCGAGGGCTAGAACAGAGAACTTGAATCTCCTCTTTATGATATGGGTCAACAATCCCAGGATATATAATGAGTCCCTGTAAAGTTAAGGAGCCACGGCCCAGAATAAGCCCAATGGTGGCAGGGGGCAAAGGTCCAGGGGAATGGACTGGGACCGGTTGAACATTCATTTGGGGCATGAGTAAGAAGTCGGAGGCGGCACGCAAGTCCATTCCGGAGGTTCCTCGGAAACCTCTACTTCCTCTTGATTGCTTTTCTGAAATTGGTTCCCATATTTCTGAGGGCCCTGGGACCATGGGCCCCGTGACCCGTTTTTTGATTGGGGTACCTTGGATTCTTCAATAGGGGGCAGAAGCCTCCCTTTTACATCCCGGACTGACCTGCATTCGCTAGCCCTATGATAACCTTTACCACAACGATAGCAAAGCTTCGATTCTCTTGTTCTTTCAGGGGCTTGACAATCTTTCTTAAGGTGCCCCATTCTCCCACAATTAAAACAAGCTTTTCGATTAGATAAATCTCTATACCTGTGCGTTTGTAAAATGGCGGCAGCTAGTCCTGCATTGGTTAGGGGTCCCCCAGCTCCCTGCACACTCTGAGCCAATCTTGTAAACCTTTGCTTTTGCGAGGGCGATAGCCGCTCGACATTCCTGGGTTGCTTGTTCATAGACAAGTTGCTCAATCAGGGGCATAGCTTGTTCTGAATCACCAAAGATGCGACTGGCGGCCTCTGTCATTCTGGCCACAAAGTCTGAAAATGGCTCTTGGGGTCCTTGGACAATCTTTGTAAGGTGTCCACTGGACTCTCCCCTTTTGTGAGGGCCTTCCATGCTTTAATAGCGGCGGCCGACACCTGACCATAGACGCCCCAGATGTAGTTGGTTTGATTAAGGGCATGTTGACCCTGACCTGTCAGCATTTCAAATGTCCACTGCCTCTGATTCTCATCTTCAGCCGTGGCATTAACTCTAGCTTGTGCCTGGGCTGCATCATACCAGAGAGCCTTCCATTCCATGTATTGTCCCATGTTGGGAAGCACTGCTTTCACTGTCGTTTGCCAGTCAGTGGGAGTCATGGCAAAATTAGCAAGCCTTTCCACCTGTAATGTGGTAAAGTTAGCATTGACCCCATAATTACGAACGGATTCGGCCAATTCTTTAATTTGATTGTAATCTACGGGGGTATGTACTCTTCCGCCTTCCACATTCTCGAATACTGGAAAAGCCATTTGTATTTTTCTCCGTTCCTCTAAAGGTAAAAAGGAGTCAGTACCAGTATTCAGCCGAAGCTCATACTGGCGGAGGCGCTGAGGAGCGTGAGCCCGCCGGATTTATAGGCGGTGGCCTCACATTCATTTTTGTTTTCAGTGGCCGGTGTCTATCAGGGTGATATCTTTTTCCTCATACCGTGCCACCTCCTCCTCTAGACCACCTTCTTCGCTAGAATCCAGAGTGTCAGAATCAGAATTATCTAGCTCCAAGGCTTCTAGCTCTACTGCAGGGTATAGACTAGATTCTGGCTTTTTCTTTTTCTTAGATTTGTTAAGGGGTGAATGATAACTCCCTTCTTTCTCTCCCCCTTTCTTAACTTCCTGGGGAGGGCCTTTTTCTTAGACATGTCTTTTCTTTTGCGAGCTCCCATTCTCTCACTCCGTTCAGTTTCTGACATGCTATCCTGAACTTCCTCTAAGGTTCCCTGACTTTCTATTATAGCAGGGTGACAGGCCTCATCCTCCAAGCAGTTTTTAACTAGCTTCCAAATGGCTTTGGTACCTAAGCAGAGATCTCCTTCTGCATGCTTCCTGTCTAGTTCTTTACCTAGCTTGTTCCATGAGGCCACAGTGAGGGACCCGGAACAAGCATACCATGGTGCCACTCTATCTACCTCCTTCACAAAATTTTGAAGTGTTCGTGGTGCAATTTTAAGATCTCTTTGTTTTAGCACAGTCTGTAAGGCTGTAACCACTGACTGTGACGACCCCATCGCGCTGACAGCTTATCTAAAAACGCGCTCAACTCCGTTACCAGACTGACAGCACCAGACTGACAGCACCAGACTGACAGCACCAGACTGACAGCGCCAGATGGACAGCGCCAGATGGACAGCGCCAGATGGACAGCGCCAGACGGACAGCGCCGTTCTGTCAGCACCAGCCACGATGAAGGAGAAGGACAAACAGGACTAGCACCAAAGCCTCCACTGACCCGTCCCACGGTGATGACAAACTAAGGCCAAAGTCGAGAAAAGGGTTGTTCAGGATAAAGCATACCTCTCTGAACCTACGTCCCTGCAGTTCTGAATCCGCCCCGTCTTCCGAGGGGTCTCCCGCGGCGCCGGCGATGTTGAAGAGTTCCCGGGTTTCGGCACCAGATGTCCCGCGCTACCGTCTCGCCAGCAAGAACGACGCAGAACACTCGGATCCTTCTGCAGTAAAGCTTTAATGCATCTTGAGAGATAGATGATCAGCTTCTTAGAGGGAGACCCCAAGCTAAGAAACCCAGCCCCTTATATAAGCCTAGGAGCTCCGAGTGAGATGTGTAGAGCCGGGATTGGTGGTTTGCACATCACCCCAGATGACGTCACGGGAGAGGCACAGTTTAAACGGTTAACTCCAACTGACAGCGACAGTTAACTCTAACTGACAGCGACAGTTAACTCCAACTGACAGCGACAGTTAACTCCAACTGACAGCGACAGTTAACTCCAACTGACAGCGACAGTTAACTCCAACTGACAGCGACAGTTAACTCCAACTGACAGCGACAGTTAACTCCAACTGACAGTGGATGTCAGCGCCATCTTCTAACGGCAATAGCGATAGCGAGGGCGGCTCCTCACAGGAAGGACTCAGGTAGAGGTCAAGGTTCTAGGACAGTCAACATGGGGTCACATTAATAAAGATGCTCTTTATTTTTTGAGACAAAGTCTCTCACTGAGCTTGCAGTTTCAGCAGTCTGACTGGTAGCTAGGCCCCTGGGATCCGCCACCGCCACCTCTCCAGGGGGCCCAGGCATTCCATGGCCAGCGTTTACACTGTACACTGTCAAACTTAGGCCCTCGCCCTCGCCCATGCTCCTACATCATCCGCGGAGCCACCTCCCCAGCCTTTTGGCGAGTTTTATTGTAGCTTTTTTATTTTTTTCCTGCCAGGGCCGTGTGCACAGTAGCTAGCGCTCAGGCTGCATAGCATACCTCTTTGCTTTCAAACGCTGTCCCTGTCTGTCATTGAACTTTTCAAACAAAACCCTTGATAAATTGGAGCTAAACTCAATGGAAGAGTGCTTGCCTAGCTTGGACCAGGCACAGGATACCATCTCAACTACTTCTGGCCCATCATCCTTGTTTTTAACCATGGTAAATGACTTAATGGGGATCTCAGTGTCCCCCTCTATAACTGTACATGGACAGTTGTTGTGGAATATTTAACTGTGCAGACGTGTTACATTTGTTCATTCTGCAGAATATTACTTTCGCAGTAGAAATGTGTGTTGCCTTTGTTTAATTATGTGAAGATGTGTGGCTGCTTACCTTGGCTGCCTGAGATCCCTAATTGGCCTAATGAAAAGCTGACCGGCCAATAGCTAGGCACAGAAAGGATAGGTGGGTGGGGCTGGAGGGCAGAGAGAATAAGTCAGAGGAGAAATCCAGGCTCCAGAGAACGAGGAAGAAAAGAGATGTGAACCAGGGAGTGTAACGCACATTCTTCCCGCCAGCCGCTTGGGTCCCGTTGTTGCTCAGGCCCCAAATAACACACAAGACACTATGTTAATTATGAAGCTGTTGGCCGCTTGCTATTGTTTCTCATTGGCTAGCTCTGACTTAATTATCAACCCGTAATTACTAACATATAATTTTACAAGGTCTTATCTTTTTGAGGATGCAGGCTCACGCATCCTCTCCCTGCGATCACATGGTGACCACTCCCCTCACTACATTTCCCAGAATCCTCCTAGTCTCCTAGTCCCACCTATCTTGCTTCCCTATTGGCCAACAGTGTTTAAATTGCATATACACAGAAGGACTTCCCCCATCAAGGGAGAGTGGGACATGCCAGGGGCCACTCCAGTCATGGAGATAGCAGAAAGTAAGATATGCAGGAAGAAAGAAAGGTAAGAAACCCTGAAGCAAATCATAGATGAAGTGAAACCTGCTAAGTCATAAGAACTAGGGGGAGAAGCATAAGACAAATCTGAGCAGTCATACCTAATAAGTCTTTGTGTCATGATTTCATAGCTGGTTTGTGATCCAAAAGAAAGAGCCTGCTGCAGACAGTGCTGCATCCTGATTGTCAGTGTTCAAAACTGTAGTCCCAGCTCACCAGAGGTGAAGGCAGGAGGATCAGGAAGGCAAGACCATTCCCAGCTCCATGGGAAGGTTAAGGCTGCCAGGAGCTACATAAGACTTGTTTCAAACACTCGTGTGTACACACACAAACACACCAACTTCACAGGCTCTGATATGCTACATATAAAGTATGCAGAAGACTGACTGACTGGATCATCAAAATGTCTCATTGTATTAAGGGCTTGTAGCCAAGGCTTATGGCCTGAGGTCAAACCCTGGGATACAAAGGGAAATAACTGACTCCCAAAGGGTGCCTTTGAGTACCACATATGTGCTATAGTATGCACACATCCACCCCAAATAAACAAGATAAGTAAAAATAATTTACAAAACATTTTTTAGAATGTTGAAATTTCGGGTTAGAGAGATGGCTCAGGGGATAAGACACTGGCTATTCTTCCAGGGGTCGTGAGTTCAATTCCCAGCAACCACATGGTGGCTCACAGCCATCTGCAATGGGATCTGGTGCCCTCTTCTCGCATGCACTGATTACATGGTAAATAAATAAGTTTAAAAAAAGAATGTTGACATTTTATAAAATGTTCATGTTTTTTCTAATTCAGTGTGCTCTGTTTTTCTCTGTCCTATAGCCTTGCCCTCAAGGCCCCCGTGCCGCCCTGGCCACCTGTCTCCAAAACCCTCCGGCTTCTACCACCAAGACAGATGGCACGCGACATTCTGCTCCAGCCGCTCCTTCCCCACTGTGGGCAGCATCCTGAACTGCCTGGCTGGCCGCATCGTCTACATGATGGGGGACTCCACACTTCGGCAGTGGTGGGAGTATTTGCGAGACACGGTGCCCTGTGAGTGACCATTAGAGCAGGGGAGGGCGTGTGAGCATTCATGATGGAAAAGCCAGGCAACACTTGCGTTGGAGGAGACTCCCGGGCCTACAAGCCAATCTGATGGGGGCATTTTCTCAACTGAGATTTCTCTTCCCAGATAACTCTAGGTTGTGCCAAGTTGACAAAAATAAATAAATAAATAAAAAAAACAAACAAGCAATCTAGGACACCTGAGGGTCTAGCCTGTGGCGCCTGCGCCACAAGCAAGTCTAATATATCGGGCAAAAGCCTTGAGATTGAACCGAAAGACAGAATGTCTGATCATTTGTGCTAAGAGGCCTTTTCTTTATTGTAGAGAGGGAGCTTACAGCACTTTGGAAAAAACCAAGTGAAGGAGATTGTGTTTTCCTCATGCTTACTGCTGGGGCAGTAAGCCAGGACTAGATAACAGGATGTACTTGAACTGGAAAATAGGATGCACCTGTTGGCTGATCAGAGACTCAGAGACCCCGTGGGAGCTGGGGCCCAACATCTCACCCTTCTTTTTTTTGTTTGTTTTGTTTTGTTTTGTTTTATGAGACAGGATTTCTCTGTATTGTTTTGGAGGCTGTCGGTCCAGCCCGGCCTCAAACTCACAGAGATCCGCCTGCCTCTGCCTCCCAAGTGCTGGGATTAAAGGCGTGCACCACCACCGCCCGGCTTCACCCTTCTTTATATATAAATTAGCGCCTGTCTCGGGTGACTGGGACGTTAATGCCAACCTTACCCATCAATGGAGAAATCACCCGGGCTGTGTGACCCTCCTGTCTTAGGGTGGTTGGCATCCCCTTTTTGTCATTGGCTGCCTAATTTTTCTGTATGCTCAACCATAGTTTAGCTGAGGGATTCTTGGTGCTTGTCAAGTGACAAACCAAACCTGGAATTGTCTAGCGCCTTAGCCAAATGAATCATATGATAATAAGCCCAATGGCTACAAGACCCAGAGATGGGGACAAGGCCCATTCTTTGATTAAATGGCTGCCACCTGGGATCCCATAAGGATGAGCTCTCCAGACGATGGAGGAACCCAGGTCTCATTCATCCTAATAATTTCATTGGCCAATTGATGAGTATAAACTTTGGCAGGGGTAACCCAACTGTGCACTAGGGTAGATAAACAGGTTTAAGGATGTAAAATTCCTACCGGGACTAAGTTATTTAAGGAGCTCTGAGTGCTGAGAGCCTCTGTTACTTCCCCTGCTGGTTTATTCACTATAGTTACAGACTGTGAGATGGCAGTCCCAGATACAATGGCTGCTGTATCAGCAACAGCAAAAGCTAAAATCACCCCAGCAGTGATGCCAAAGTCTCTTTTTTGCTGCATTAGGGCAAATTGCATTTCTCCAGAAAAAATACACTGGCATAGGTACGATTCCAGGAACAGGAACCACCAAGGCTGATATTTCAAGTGACCATGTCCTGTTCAATTACTGAAAAGAGGCTTTTGTCACTCATCACAGTCCATACCAGTGACCAATTTTTTTTTCGAGGCAGGGTTTCTCTGTATTGTTTTGGAGGCTGTCCTGGAACTCGCTCAGTAGACCAGGCTGGTCTCGAACTCACAGAGATCCGCCTGCCTCTGCCTCCCTGCTGGGATTAAAGGCTCCAGTGTCCAATTTTAAATGGGTCCTTTTTTCCCCAAAGGGAAAAACTGGCAAAATGAATTCTGTGTTTCAAGGTGTGTCCAGGGCAGACTGCTAGTCTTCCAGCTCTTTGTCAGCTCTGGGATGAAAACTCACAGGTCCGGGAAGTTGATGCAGCAGGCCTGTTGAGAAACTGGATATCTCGAAACAACTGTTTCCTTTCTTTCTCAGGCTGTAGATTCGATGACATCAAGGGTCAGGAACACTGGTTCAGGGGATCTCACTGGAACTGGCTTGGGCAGGCTCCCATGGTCTCAGGTCCAGTTTTTCTCTGCTCCATGAATCTCACCAAATGTTCTGTCTGGCAGCCACGGAGCTTTAGTCTTTTCCGGCAAGGAAGCACAAACATGCCCTTGACCCCAAATTAGGGCAGAATCGAGTCTTCTCCACTGTCTAGCGTATGGATGTCTCCATTTGACCTGAGCAAAAGTTGCTCAAGTTTCATCATGCCAGAATCTATGGCAGCAAATTGCTCACTGGCATCCACATTTTAAAATTTTGCATCATGTTGGAGACTGAGGACCTTACTCCCTGCTTTTTATCTTTTGAAGATACGTTTTGATCAATTTTCCATTGAGTATCTAGACCCGTTGTCTGTTTTTTATCATTTTTGGAACTCCCATGTAAGCAAAACATTTTTTAAACAATGACTTATCCCATGTTTGGTGACTTTTTCAGCTTGTGCAGTGGCCGTCAAGAAACCTGAATACCTATCAACTGCCATGTGCACACATTTTAACTTTCCAAATTCTGTAATATGAGTAACAACCATTTGCCATCACTTTTAAATTAGTTTGTGGGCACACCTCATTGTTTGACAATTTTGACGATCTGTCTCTCTAGTTAAACCAAATTGCTTTCTTAGACTCCTGTTATTCTGATGAAAGTTATGAGACTGCAGAGCTCTCTCTACCTGAGATAAAGCGAAAAATCTTGTTAATCTATCTGTTGACTTGTTCCCTTTAGCCAGTGGGCCAGGAAGGTTTAAACATGCTCTCGTGTCATCCACAAGATGTGGCAACTTTTTAGAAGAAGTGTATTTTGAATTTGCTCAAACACTATTCTAACCTGATAATTGCCAGTTCCTATGCATTGAACTCTCTCTATTGCTTTAAAAACATAATGATTATCACTACACAAATTAAATGACTCTTTTACTAGAAGTTGAAAAACCATTGCGACAGCTTGTAACTCGACTGAAGCTGAAGCCGGAGTTGTTTGCTCCATGTATTTTACAAAAGCTACTCTTCCATTAACGGAACCATCAGTAAAAACTGACAGCATTTTTTACAGGACTGCTCTCTACAATTTTGGGAATACAAAAGGATGTGTTAGTGCAAATTGCAACAGTCTTATGAGCTGGAGACTGATTACCAATTCTCTCTGAAAATTGAGTAAAAGTATTTTCCCTGAGTCACTGTTCTGAAACAACCAATCAACTTGTTACTAGGTATAAGGAACATGTATCATATTTGGTTCTCTGCTAAAATATCTCCTAGATTCCATAGATGCCCTTAAAAAAGGATGCCACCATTGAACATTTCCCAACAACTTCTGAAAATTTCTCAAAGGTTGCAAACTATCCTCTCTAATTTTTTAGGCTTAATTTTTTTAGGCTATAACATATGTCCCAAATAACTTTTGAAAATTACTTGAATTTTGTGAGTACTCTTTTTCTAATCCAGTTTGTAATCCAATTTGTAAAGCTCTTGCTAGCCGACCAGACCTAATTTGTATTTACACTGACTCCTTGTAGATAGGGTCTAACAGGGCAGCAGGTTTTCTGAGGCTTCTTCTCAAAAACCTTTCTTTTCTCTACATTTCTTTTTCCAAGCATAAAATTTTAGGAGACTTTCTGCATCCTCTCCTCTGCTAAACTCTATAGAATCTTCCATAAAGATTTCTTTGGCTCTCAGGCCATGTTGTAGGCTTCTGTTATTTTTCCACTGACTGGTTCTGAGGACTCAAATTGTCAACCTTTCCTGTTAAGACATTGACTGGCTGGATGTTCTTTTTTGGCTATATCCAAAGCAATTTGGGTAGCATCTTAACTATATCCAAAGCAACTTAGGTATCCTTTTAATCGTATCCAAGGCAATTTAAGCAGTTCTTCTTGTCAACATGCACTCATTCACAATCATCTTTCACACATACCAGTGTGGCCACACCATACACAGAGAACATACATACATCTTTTAGTTATCCTTTTCCCCTAGGTCATAGTTAGTTTGCTGAAATGAAACTTCCTTAATTGAAATCTCTGTGACAGAACAGCTCCAGCCAATCCTTGAATTAAAACAAAAGGTTGAAAAGGGCCCTATGGCCTTCACCATCTTTCCATTTCCTATCATCAGTATTCTGTTGTAGCCAAGCAATTTGAGAGGAGTTGCAAGGGGTAACAATAACATCAGGTCCTTTGCCAAAGATTTGCAAACTCATCTTATATGCCCTAACAGTAAGCTGTAAGATCTGATCTGTCTAGGGTTTGCTGTATCGTTTTAATGCAATTTCTGCCTTCTCTAGTAAGGGTGCGGGAAGAAGCAGGATCAGGATCCCCCTGCAGGATATCCATTCAAAAATTTTAATTTGTCTAGCCTTAAAATAATTTTTGAGGCCTTAAAGTTAATGGAGGGCAAACTAAAGGCAAATCATACAATCATTAGGATGTAAACCAACACAAATAAAAACCAGTCTTTCAGAATTCCTACCAGAGTGAGCAAACTCGGTTGTTCGGCACCCATGACCATCACAGTTTTACTGACCTCTCTCAATTTCTGTATCAGGCGCCATTTTCCTAATTTTTTCTTTGTAACAAAAATAGGTGTATTCCAAGGGGAGGTGGAAGGTTCAGTATGCTCAGCCTCCAATTGCTCTTATAATAGGTGTATTCCAAGGGGAGGTGGAAGGTTCAGTATGCTCAGCCTCCAATTGCTCTTATAATAGGTGTATTCCAAGGGGAGGTGGAAGGTTCAGTGTGCTCAGCCTCCAATTGCTCTTATAATAGGTGTATTCCAAGGGGGGGTGGAAGGTTCAGTGTGCTCAGCCTCCAATTGCTCTTATAATAGGTGTATTCCAAGGGGAGGTGGAAGGTTCAGTATGCTCAGCCTCCAATTGCTCTTATAATAGGTGTATTCCAAGGGGGGGTGGAAGGTTCAGTGTGCTCAGCCTCCAATTGCTCTTGCACCAGCTGATGAGCAGCCTCCAATTTTATTTTAGACAGGGGCCATGGGTCTACCCACACAGTGGCTCTGACTTAATAAGCTGTATGGGTGGAGGCTTAGTCACAATGGCTCCAGCTAAAAATGTCCCAGTACTGTCCCGTCTTCTGGCTTACGAGTAACAGAATTTCTTAAAGCAACTGGTTGAGTGGTAAAAAGTTCTGTGTGCTCCTCATCATCTCTCCATTGGAGAAGTTCTGAGCTGCACTCAGAAGCTACAGCCATACCCACTCATTGTAGGCACAATTGTAGCCAATCTCTAGGAGTACAGTTTAAGGCTAAACATGGGCAGTAATTTACTAACTGTTCCTCCTGGACATTTACAAATGCTTTTTCAAGGTTAGCCATTTGTTCCTTCATCTTAGCACTATCACTCGATAGGGAATCCTTCACTAACCTCCAAAGGGGAAAGGCGGCAATAGGAAAACCTTCCAGTCCCTCTTTCTGAAGAGTCTTCTGGAGGTCATTTTTAACTTGTTCCCAATCAGAGATATTAAGCCCTTCCAAGTGTAAAAGCCATGGACTTGTCTTTTCCAAAGTTAAAATAAAATCGTTAGCTGTCTTTTGCTCAGTGCTGGTACCTTGTCTCTTTAATAATTCTACTAACTGTTCTATCAATACAGCCTTAGAAGTTGAGGTACCCATTTCCCAATACACCCTCACAAATCCTTACCTGCTGGCCAACCACTGAGGGCAATCTCTCAAGTTCCCCTTGCTTTCTCGACCTTAGTGTCGGGCGAAAGCCTGGAGATTTAAATGAACCTGTCTTCAATTCACCTTCATAAATCCTTTGAAGGTGATCTCTCAGGGTCTTCCTTCTTTCCCAATCTTGGTGGGACCTCCAGTTGTGGTGCAGCCTGTGCCACGAGTAAGTCTGATGTATCGGGCAAAAGCTTGGAGATTGAACCAAAAGACAAGACGTCCAGTCGTTTGTGCTAAGAGGTCTCTTCTTTATTGTAGAGAGGGAGCAACCTTATATACAGGCTTACAGCACAATGGAAAAACCCCAGGTGGAAGATACCGTGTTTTACTCGTGCTAGATGTTGATGTCAGTTGGCAAGGCCAGGGCAGTAAGCCAGGACTAGAAAACATATTGCACTTGTTGGCTGACCAGAGACTCACAGAGACCCCAAGGGGGCTGGGGTCCAACACTAGCCCCCAGCCCAGCACTAGGATTACAAACACACAGGACCACACCTAACTTTTTAATATGGGTTCTGTTGGATCTAACTCAGGTCCTCATGTTTGTACTGAAAGCATGTTTAAAAATTTAAAGAAGAGCCGGGCGTTGGTGGCGCACGCCTTTAATCCCAGCACTCGGGAGGCAGAGGCAGGCGGATCTCTGTGAGTTCCAGGCCAGCCTGGTCTACAAAGTGAGTTCCAGGATAGCCTCCAAAGCTACAGAGAAACCCTGTCTCGAAAACCCCCAAAAAAAAATTTAAAGAAGAAAAACTGGGTTTGGTAGTACACTCAGGAGGTACAAACAGAAATAAGGAGTCCAGGGTCATCCTACCTACATAATGAAGTTGAGGCCAGCCTGGGCTACATGAGCCCTTGACTCAAAACTAAAACAAGCAATGACAACAAAAACATCTGTAAGTCATTCTCAAGATTTTAGTTGATTGGGGTGTGGTTGGGAGATTCAGGAAGTAGAGAGCAATTTGAGTAGAAACAGTGGGTTTGTTTTTATCCATGTTGCATTTGAGGCAACAGAGAATTGGTTTGTTTTGTTTTTTGTTTTTTTTTTAATATTTACTATGTATACAGTATTCTGCCTGCACGTATCCCTGCAGGTCTCAAGAGGACACCAGATCTCGTTATAGATGGTTGTGAGCCACCATCTGGTTGCTGGGAATTGAACTCAGGACCTCCGGAAGAGCAGCTACTGCTCTTAACGTTTGAGCCATCTCTCCAGTCCCCGGGGGGTTTTTATTTTTGTTTTGGTTTTTTGTTGTTGTTGCTGTTTTTACGAGACAAGGTTTCTCTGTATTGCTTTGGAGGCTGTCCTGGATCCTCCTGCCTCTGCTTCCTGAGTGCTGGGATTAGAGGCTTGAGCCACCAACGCCTGGCAGAAACATAGTGTTTTAAACGACACTTAAAGTATGAAATGAGACTCAAGAGTCTGGTACCTTTTCGACAAAGACCCAAGGAAAGAAGTGGTTGAGTTCCTCACAGGGTAAAGATGCTAAAGAAAAATGGGTGGAGGCCAGTAAGTGGCCAAACTGGTAAAGCCTTTGTGTCCACAGCCATCGGGGCCGGCAGCGCGCGCCCTTTCCGCCTGAGTCTTGCTGCGGATCCCCTATGTTAATTCCTTCTTTCTCCTCCTTCTACAGCCCTGAAGCCAGTTGATCTTCATGTCCAATATCAGGTAGGCCCCCTGATGATTGTGGACACAACTCGGGGTGCAGTGCTGCACTGGAGGGCCCACAGCTGGCCCCTGCGCTCTCGTCACACCCCAGTGGCCTCCCTGCACTCTGTGGCCAGAGAACTGCATGGCCTGGCTGGGGGACCCTACACCGTGGTGGTCCTGGGTATGGGAGCCCATTTTACCACTTTCCCTCCATCCGTCTTTGCTCGAAGACTGGCAGGGATTCGGGAAGCCGTGAAAGCCCTGCTGGACCGCGAGCCCAGTACTCTAGTGGTCATCAAACTGGCCAATACTGGCTACAAGTCCGTGTATGGCAGTGACTGGCTCACGCTCCAGGTGAACAGGCTCCTCCGAGCTGCCTTTGTTGGTCTCCCAGTGGCCTTTGTGGATGCTTGGGAAATGACCTCCAGCCTGGCTGTGCCAGACAACATCCACCCAAACAAGCTTATTGTCCGCAACGAAGTGGACTTATTTCTGTCCTTCATCTGTCCCACCTGAGTGCGCCTGAGGGACCTGAGGCTGGATGGATGGAGAGCCTGAGTGTGGCCATCGAAAAGATGAACACCAAGTGGAAAACTGCAGTTACCCTGGCTGACCCACAGTGACACATGGTCACCAAGGTTATACATTGCTCTGTGTGCCTCACAGATGAATCTAATTTTATATAAATGAGGTGATGTTTTACATAGTGTCTTCCTTTTGAATGTAATAAGCTGTGCATTGTTAAGAGAAACCTTTTCCTTGAGTGAAGCCTTCCCGCCAGCCTGGTTCCAGAGCCGCATCAGTCCCAAATAAACACACAGGAGACTATATTAATTATGAATCTGTTGGCCTTGCTTGTTTCTTACTGGATAGCTCTGACTTATGTAATTACCCCATAATTGTTAATCTAGGTATGTCTCTAACCAGAGAAGTTTCTGGGCTTCCTACCCCATGGCGTTACATCTTGACTCTCTGTGTTTCTCCTTCCCAGAGTCCTCCTGGACTCCTAGTCCCACCTATCTAGATTCCTATTGGCCAGCAGTGCTTTATTGACACAGGACTTCCACATCAGTGCATGATGTGTGCACGCATGTGTGTACAGGTGCCCTCTCCCATGTGCACACAGAGGCCAGAGGGTAGGGTGCCCCGGTCTACCTAATTCCCTCAAGAGAGGATCTCTCACTGAACCTGGATCTTGGCTGGCAGGCAGGAAGCCTCATGGACCCTTCTTTCTCTGTCTCCCGCAGCTTTGGGTTACAGCACAAAATTCATATCCTTTTTTTTTTTTTGTGGTACTGGGGTTTCACACCCAGACCCTCATGTTTGTGCCCTTACCCACTAAGTTATGGCTTAGGCCTCTCTTCTTATTTTTTTAAGGCAGGTCTTGGGTTTGTATAGATGACTCCGTGGTTAAGAGTGCTGGCTGTTCCTCCAGAGGACCTGAGCTCAATTCTCAGCTCCCACATGGCACCTCATAACTGTAATTTCAGTTCCAGGGGGATCTTACACTCTTCCCGCCCACCCACACAGGGTCTCTCTATGTAGCTCTGGCTGTCCCAGGACACACTCTGTAGACGAGGCTAACCTAGAGCTCAGGAGTCCTACCTGCCTCTGCCTCCTGACTGCTGGGACTACAGGTGTGTCACCACCGCATGGCAGCATCTGCCAACACCCTTCTCAGACACACATGCAGACAAAGTAATGCATATAGTATAAAATACATATAATAACATAAAAGTAAACCACTTCTTAAAACGCACATGTCTTCACGCCTCTGACCCTTGCTCCAGCTTCCCAGTGCTGTGATCACAGTCATGCAAACACTCTGTCTCATACCAGATGGTGCTTTGTTTTTAATTTTGGGAAATTTTAATTAGTTTCGTTACAGATATTGCAATTGTGGGAAATAATACAGAGGGATTCCTGGTACCTTGTACTTAGTGTCTCCCAATGACAATGTCTTGGAAGACTGTGTGTCATGAACTGTCACAATCAGGATGTGAATGTGGGAAGAAAACTAACAGTCTTGTCCAGACGCTGCACTTCTATTGGACTTGCTTGTGCATTTGTCTACTTTTCATTTTCATGGCCCTGGGCATGGATCCAGGAGCCTGTGTGTGGTAGACACTGCTCTACGGCTGAGCCACGCCCCAGCCCCTCACTGGGGGATTCTAGGCAGGGGCTCTACCACTGAGTCACACCCCAGCCCCTCACTGGGGGGTTCTAGGCAGGGGCTCTACCCCTGAGATGTCTTCCCAGCTCTTTGAGGCAGCAATCCCATCTCTCTCTGTTTCTGTCTGTGTCTCTCTATTTCTCTGTCTCTCTCTACACAAACACACTTCCCAGATGACTTTGAACTTACAGTTGTACTGCTCAACTCTCCCGAAGGCTGGGAATTCAGATCTACCGCACTGTGCCTGCTGGAATGTGATTGTCTACTAAAGAGTAAACTGGACACAAATGAGACGGGAGCAGCAACAGAGCCTGCCAATAATATAAAGTTCATTTTGAGAGAGTTGTCTGCTCACCAGCCAGACACAGGCATTACACCATCTGCCAGGATGAAGGAAAGTGTAAGAAAATGTGTGCTGTGACACCCAGAGCCTGATCTGGGAGCTGCATCAAGGCAGGGTTATAGTGCTAGTGACTCTCCAGAAAGAACTCGGGACCACATTAGAAAGAAAAAAATGAAACCAAACATCTCATTTAACTTCAATTACTTTCTCAAAGTCAGGATTTCCAAACACAGTCATGTCAGTGGTTAGAGTCTCAATGTACAAAGTTAGGAAGACAGGCAAACCCACACAGAAGATAAAATGAAAACATTCCCTGGACCCGGGTGTAGCTCCACTGTGAACACTATGTGTGTAAGAAAAGAGAATGATCCATTTCCAAAGGAGCCCTGAGCTAGCCTAGGCTCAAACAGCAATAAACAGACACACAAGGACCCTGCTAGCATCTACTGGTCTAACTGTTCCTCAACAAGCTGAGAGTTAGAGGAGAAAAGGGAAAGCATTGGAGCTGGGGAGATGACTGCGTGGTTTAGAGCACTGGCTGCTCTTTCAGAGAATCCAGGTTTGATTCCCAGCACCACCATGATGACTCACAACCGTGTCTAGTGCCAGGGGACCCGACACCCTTGTCTCACCCCCACAGGCCTGCATACAGGTGTGCACATACATACAGGTGTGCACATACATGCAGGTGTGCACATACATGCAGGTGTGCACATACATGCAGGTGTGCACATACATGCAGGTGTGCACATACATGCAGGTGTGCACATACATGCAGGTGTGCACATACATGCAGGTGTGCACATACATGCAGGTGTGCACATACATGCAGGTGTGCACATACATGCAGGTGTGCACATACATTCAGGCAATGCATGCATACACCCAAGGTCAATTAAACATTCATACACCCACAGTCACTTAAATACATTAACACTTTTAAAATTACCTAGGTCCAAGCTTGTCTGTGGACATGACAAAGCCTTACACTAAACAGGATGAGGCCTGAAGAGATGGCTCGGTGATTGTGGGTGATTGCTGCTCCTGCAGAGGACCCCAGGTTGGTGGGTGGCATCCAGCTCCCTGTAACTCCAGTTCTGATGGAAACGGTGAACTGTTCTGGCCTCCATGGGCACCTACACACATATGGCATACAAACACAGAAATACACATAACCTATACAATACTAAAAATTAAAATAAATCTTTAAAACAATATTAAATAAGTAAACAACAAGATGTATAACATGGAGGTGAACCTACACATGGATTCTTTGTTAAGAAATGAACAAATAACCCAGGCATGGTAGTGCAAGCTTTTAATCCTAGCACATAGGCGGCAGAGGCAGGCAACCTCTGTTAGTTTGAGGCCAGCCCAGTCTACATCGAAAGTTCTAGGAAAGCCAGGGGTACATGTCTCAAGAAAAAATACAAAAAAAGAAGGAAGGGGAAGAGAGGGGGGGGGAGGGAGGGAGGGAGGGAGGGAGGGAGGGAGGGAGGGAGGGAGGGAGGAAAGATAAATATGTGTGGCAGAGGGAAAGAAAGATGCAGGTGACATGTATGATTGCCCCTCTGACTCTCCCCCCAGGGAAGAAGGGAGACTTTCATGTTAGATATAAAAGCTGTTCTCGCCTGGTCTACAGAGCAAGTTCCAGGACAGCCTCCAAAACAATACAGAGAAACCCTGCCTCGAAAAATCAAAAAAAAAAAAAAAAAAAGCTGTTCTCTGGGCTCAATCAGCACCTGCCGCTCTGAGCTGACACCTGGTTTTGTAAAGTCATAAAATAAACTGCCTTAGTTTCATTACCCTGAATCTCCAGTGCCATTTTTACAGAGTAAGAGGTTTTGTTTCTCAGCCAAGCAGTAAGTGATGACTCATGCCTTTAATTCCAGCACTCCAGAGGCAGAGGCCATCAGATCTTTGGGAGTTCGAGGCCAGCTGGTCTGCAGAGGGAATTCTAGGGCAGCCAAAGCTACACAGAGAAACCCTGTCTTGAAAAAACAAAAACAAACAAAAAGAGGTTTTGTTTGTCATGCCTAGTGTCCATGAAGCCCTGGGTTCCAACTGTGTCACAGACAGAACACCATGAGCTCAGTCTTACAGAGGATACACTAATCTTTATTTTGATAGGGGTACAAAATGGCAGTAGGTAAAGGCACTTGCCACCAAGGGATGATCTGAGTTCACACTGGCCCTGCATGTGTGAGGGGCTGGGGTGTGACTCAGTGGTCGAATATTTGCCTAGCATATACAACTTCCCAGGTTCCATTGTCAACCTCATAAAAACAAACACATCATAATCTGCAGTAACACCACATCTGAGAGGTGTGTCTAACATTTGGGGACTCATTCCTCTAGTACAGATCTCAAAGGTCATAGTGAAGAAAACCCCTCCTACTTTACACCCTGTGCACCAGGTCTCCCATGCCTTTCGTCCTGTTCATGCTGACTGTGTTTGGCAATCTCGTGAGTGGAGAGACCTCTGGGAATCTCATCTGTGCTGACCTTGGTTTCACTTGAGGTTATCAATTGGCTGGCAGTGTGCATGGACCACCTATTATCTGTGCTTTGGGGTGAGGGTTAACAAGGGAGATCTTTTCAGGAAGGTGACAGAGAGTTAGACATGAGAGATAAATGTTAGAGATCCTTAAATTGCATTCTTTTCATTTTTATCTCAGAGAGAGAGAGAGAGAGAGAGAGAGAGAGAGAGAGAGAGAGAGAGAGAGAGAGAGAGAGAGAACATGCATGCTATACCCATGGAGGCCAGAAGAGGGTGTTGGATCCTTTAGAGCTGGAGTTGTAGACAATTGTGAGCCACCCAGCTTGAGTGCTGGGAATCAAACTCTGTTTTAGGTAAGAGCAGCCAATGCCACTAACCACTGAGCCATCTCTCCAGCCCCTTTATGTTTTGAGCTGTGTGGATATTTCCTATATTTCAAGGCCAACTTGGGAGTGTATTAATCTGTTTTGAGACAGGATCTTCTATATAGCCTATAATAGCCTGCAATTCACTATGTACTCCAAGCTGTTTCTGTCCACTCCATGCCTTAAATCCCTTCCCTTCTGCTGCTAGAGACTGAACCCAGGGCCTTGCTTATTCTAGGCAAGAGTTCTACTGCCCATCTATGTCACTAACATAGACTCTCTCCTTTCATCTGGGCATCTCTACAGATGTGCCCTAAGTGTTGCGGAATAATCTCTGTACACCGTGAAGATGTGCCACTCAGATTGGTTTAATAAAAAGCTGAACGACCAATAGCTAGGCAAGATTTTGGGGGGCACAGAGGATGCTGGGAAGAAGGACAGAAACACCAAGACACAGAGCAGGACACGCAGGAGGAGCGGTAACAGCCATGAGCCACGTAGCAGCACATAGATTAATAGAAAGGGGTTAAATTAAGTTATTAGAACTAGTTAGGCCCAGCACTTGGGAGGCAGAGACAGATAGATCTCTGTGAGTTCGAGACCAACCTGGACTACAAGAACTAGTTCCAGCACAGGTGACACAGGAGGAGGAGGAGGAGGAGGAGGAGGAGGAGGAGGAGGAGGAGGAGGAGGAGGAGGAGGAGGAGGAGGAGGAGGAGGAGGAGGAGGAGGAGGAGGAGGAGGAGGAGGAGGAGGAGGAGGAGGAGGAGGAGGAGGAGGAGGAGGAGGAGGAGGAGGAGGAGGAGGAGAAGAAGAAGAAGAAGAAGAAGAAGAAGAAGAAGAAGAAGAAGAAGAAGAAGAAGAAGAAGAAGAAGAAGAAGAAGAAAACTAGTTAGGGGCTAGAGAGATGGCTCAGCAGTAATGGCACTGGTTGCTCTTCCAGAGATTCTGAGTTCAATTCCCAGCAACCACAGGATGGCTCAAAACCATCCATAATGTGATCTGGCACCCTCTTCTGGCCTGTATGCAGAACACTGTTTATAATAAATACAGAATAAATAAATAAATAATAAATCTAAAAAAAATTACATTTTTAAAGAACTAGTTAGAAACTAGCCTAAGCTATAGGCCAAGCTTTTTTAATTAATAATAAGTCTCCATGTTTCTATCGGGGAGATGACCATCCTGATGAAAATGTTCAACTACACCCTAAGGATTGTCTCTCTGCCCCCATGTGTAAATGAATTTGTTCTGGGGCTGGACAGATGGCTCAGTACTCAAAAGTGTTTGCTGCTCTTACAGAGGACCCAAGATCAGGTGCTCCCACACTCACAGATGGCTTCCAACTGCCTCCTCAGGAGCCGGCACTCACACGCACACACCCACACAGAGATACACAAATGCACGGTACACATAACTTAAAAATAAAAATAGGAGGATGAACGTGGTGATCCACACCTTTAATCCCAGAACTCGGGAGACAGAGGCAGGTGAATCTGTGAGTTTGAAGCCAGCCTGGTCTACCTGGTGAGTTCCAGGTCAATCAGCGGAGACACCAGCCTTGTGGGACTGAGCAAATACTAGATTCTTGGACTTTCCATTCACAGCTAGCCATTGTTGGACTATAAGTCATCCAATAAATTCACACACACACTGTCTTTGTTAGGGTTTCTATCGCTGCAACTGTTTGAGTTCACCTTCTTATAGAACCAGGAGCATTACAGACCCCCCCAAAACATCTTGAGACCCACTTTCTTGTAGAACCCAAGATCAGTAGCCCAGGGACGACACCACCCACCATGGTGGTGTCCTAACTGATCCCCTAACTGATCACTAAATGAGAAAATGCCTTACAGCTGGATCTCGTCCAGGCATTTCCTCGGCTGAGTCTCCTTTCTCTAATGACTCCAGCTTTACCAAGTTGACACAAAACCAGACAGCACACACACACATATAAAGAGAGTCATTCCATAAGTTCTATGACTCTAGAGAGCCCGACTAATACACTTGCTAAGTCTAGCAAAAGATGATGGAAGATCTGAGGGGGTTTCTTCTGGGTTTGCATGTCTTCCGGAGAGATTTGCAGGGGTGGGAAAACAGGACCTACAGGAAAGACTGCACTCTGGTGGCTGCCTTGGTTCATGCAGGCAACGGGGTAAATGCCACCCAATATATTCAGAGTTTGAGAGTGGGCGCATTTATTTGTTGTTTCTTTGCAGCACTGAGGATTGAACCTAGGATCTCACACATACAGGGCAATTTCTCCACCACTGAAGCTCTTCCCCAGTGCTCTTCTACTTTCTGTTTTGAGATGGGTCATACTAAGTGGCCCAGGCTGGCCTTGAGCTCACTTTGTATTCCAGGTAGGTCTGCCTCCCTGGTGCTGGGATTATAAAGACTTGTTTTGCTGGGGGTGGGGCACATGCCTTTAAACCCAGCACTCAGAAGGCAGAGGCAGGTTGCTCTCTGAGTTTGAGGCCAGCCTGGTCTACAGAGTGGGTTCCAGGACAGCCAGAGCTACTCAGAGAAACCCTGTCTCAAAAAAAACAAAAGCAACAACAAACAACTATGTGTTTCCTAAGGGAAGAGAACTGGAAGGTTCTTAGGGTTTGCTGTTGTTTTGCTGTTGTTTTTGGCTTGTACAAACCCGAGGGTTCGACCCCCAATGCCACATTACAAGCCAGGAAAGGTAGTGTTCACTTGTAATCCCAGCTCTCAAGATGGAAAGCGCACGCCTTTAATCCCAGCACTTGGGAGGCAGAGGCAGGTGGATTTCTGAGTTAGAGGCCAGCCTGGTCTACAGAGCGAGTTCTAGGACAGCCAGGGCTACAGAGAAACCTGTCTCGAAAAACCAAAACACACACACACACACTTTTTAATTATGTTTGTGTGTGTGTGTGTGTGTGCACCCTCGCGTGCGCACGCACATGCATGCTCGCCTGCTACTGGAGACCAGAGGTGTCAGATCCCAGCTGACATTCCAGGCAGTTGCTGGCCACTGACATGACTGCTGAGTCATCTCTCCAGATCCTCCCTTGACCTGTAAAAGTAGGAATAACCCTAACTTAATCCCCCACCCATGTTCTCATCCTCTGGGCAGCACTGAAGCCAGCAGATCTACAGGTCACTCATCAGGCCGGGTTCCCTGATGGCGGCTGTGAGGCGTGGGGCATAGCACTACACTGGAAGGCTCCAGTGCTTTCTCTGACCTTCCTTCACTCTGTAGCTGACTAGCTAGAGAGCCTGGCTAGGGGACCAATTTGTCACTTCCCCAGTGTCCATCGGTCCCGGGATTCTCAGCACTCTCATGGACACCAAAGGTCATTACCAGTTATGAATCTGTATGGCATTGACTGGCCCACACCCCAGCTCCCTGTGACCTTTGTGGACACCTCGGAAATGACCCCACCTAGGGAAGCTCGTTGTTCAAAACAAGATGGGCTCCCTCCTCTCCATCCATCCCACCCCAGTGTCCCTAAAACGGGTAGACAAGGGTCTGGGGGTGGTTTGGGACACAATAGTGAAGAGGGTCACAGCCAGGATTAAAACTTCTAGACTAAGGGCAGGTGCCACTAACGTCTCACTCTTCCTAACGCTTCGACCCTTTAATACAGTTCCTCATGCTGGGAGGAAGATTCATGTGAGGAATGTTGTTCCATAAAATTAGTTTTTGTTGCTACTTCATAACTGCAACTTTGCCAGTGTTATGAATCATAATGTAAATGTTTACTAATGGTCTTGGGCAATCCCTATGAACGTCATTCAACCCCGCCCTAAGAGGTCGAGACTTACAGGCTGAGAAACGCTATTCTAACACTTCCTACTAATCTATCTACCTGATCCTGTTCTGTCCACACTAAGGCCTTCTCCACTCTGATCAAGTGGTTATTTGTGTTTTACTTATCTGAGACCTAGTCCAGGCTGGCCTCAAACTCACCACGCAGCTTGAGGATGACCTTGAACTCCTGCTCCGCCTGCCTCTAGTTCCTGAGTGTTGGGATTAGAGAAGGGAGCCACAGATTGAAAACAACTAAGTTGTCACAGCCTGTTTCTAAGCCAGTGGCTTCCATGCTACGACGATTCCCAGGCTTGCCCGACATGAGCCCTCATTCCTCGTCACCTTCCCCTGTCCCTTTGCAGTCCAGCCCCATGAGTCCTCCTCATTTATTTTCGAGCCTAGGTCTCATGTAGCCCAGGCTGGCTTCCAACTTGCTCTGTAGCTGAGGATGACCTTAAACCTCTGGTCCTCCTGCCCCCACTTCCCAAGTACTGGGGTTACAGGTGTGTGTCTACACTCTAGGCCATGCTGGAGACTGAATCGGGTACTGGGTGCCTGCTGGGCAAACACTGTACTGAGTTACCACTTCCCAAGGCCCCCTGCGTCTTCTTGCTGCTCAAATGTTATCTACTGCTCTGCTGCCACGGACACCCTTGGGTCCTCAGAGGCAGCTCTCTCCTCACTCAGTTCTTTGGTCAAGTGCCTTCCCACAAACTGGATGTGGTTGGTGGCTCACCCCTGTAATCGAAGCCAGAGGATGAGACACAAGGACGAGATTTTGAGGGCAGCCAGGGTTACATAGCGAATCCTAGGTGTAGCCTGAGCTGCACAGCAAGGTAGAAGCACAAGACACCAGCTGTGCTTGGCAGTGTTCACTCTTGCCTTCAGGTCTTCCTCAGCTGTATAGTAAGTTCAAGGCCAGCCTGGGTTACAAAAGACCCTAATCTGAAACAAAAACCAGGGGCCACAGAGATGACTCAGCTGGAAAAGGTGCTTGCCGCCAAGCCTGGTGACCTGAGTTTGACCCTCGGAGCCTACGTGGTTGAAAGAGAGATACAACTCCTACAGCTTGTCCTGACACCCACGTGTAAGCCATAGCTTGGCTTTGTGCATCTACCGTGCGAAACACATAATGAAAGTAGAGCATAAAGAGGCTTCCCCCCCTCTCCCCCCCGCCGGGCGTTGGTGGTGCACGCCTTTAATCCCAGCACTCGGGAGGCAGACGCAGGCGGATCTCTGTGAGTTCGAGGCCAGCCTACTCTACAAGAGCGAGTTCCAGGACAGCCTCCAAAGCCACAGAGAAACCCTGTCTCGAAAAAAACCAAAAAAAAAAAAAAAAAAAAAGACTTCCCCCAACCTCTCAACACCAAGCAGCCTCCCCACCCTATCCTCCCCACCCTGTCTCTGTCCTAGCCTCATGCTGCACGTACACTGCGAGCCACACCCTGTAATGATTTGGTTGCTACTATTAGGGTCACTCATCTGTCTCCTGAATGGAATGTGGCTTCTGTGTGAGGCAGGGACCCCTCATTTGCTCACTGTAGTAGTATCACTTGACATACATACATACATACATACGTGCTTGAAACATTATAGGTGTTAAATAGTTATCCACTGGGTGAATTCAATGATTAAGTGAATGAACCAAAGTCAGGTGGGAATGTACATGACTGTAACTCTGTAAACCCAGTATTTGGGAGGTGGAGGCAGGAGACTGGAACGCATGAGACTGTCTTAAAAAAAAAAAAGGTGAGGCCGGGCAGTGGTGGCCCACGCCTTTAATCCCAGCACTCGGGAGGCAGAGGCAGGCGGATCTCTGTGAGTTCGAGGCCAGGCTGGGCCGACAGCCTCAAAAAAAAAAAAAAAAGAATATTCATCAAGAAGGTTCTTCGGGTAAAGGTGCCTGCCACCAAGCCTGACGTCCTGGACTTAATCCCGGGGACCCACAGGGTGAAAATTGCTTCCAGTCCTGCACGGACACACACACACACACACACCAAACAAATGTATCTTAATTACAATCTTTTTTCTGGAAGAAAGAGTTATTTCTGCATTTTACTGAGGCTCACAGAGGATGCAGGGCTGAGTCAGTCCTCCGTCCTGCTTGGGTTGCAGACAGTGAGTGACAAGGGTGGCTGTTTGAAAGTTGCCTCCTGGCAAGGCTGAACGTGGCAAAGCTTGCTTGCTGTGACGGCGCCCTCAGGGTCCCCTGGACTCCAGTGCCTCGCTGAAGGTGCTTTCCTGATCCTCGGAACTCTTCCCTACTTCCCTGACCACCCGGAAGGGGGCTCCGTGACCAGGCACCACCACATCAGCCACAGCCAGGATCCTCTCCCGGCTCCGCTGCTGAGCTACTGGGTCTTCGCTCAGGGCCTGCCAGGAGTCCTCGTCCCCGAGGCGCTCGAACACATCGCCAGCCACCACCACGGTGCCCAGGCTGGTGCCCTGCACCACGACGCTCACGTCCCGCTGTCCTCCGTGGCCCGGCGTGGCCCACACCTGCAGTCCGGAGCTCGGTGTCAAGGGCCGCGTTTCAGCCAGCCCGTGGGGCAGATAGAGGCCCCCGGGAAGGCAGAAGTCATGGGACACTAGCAGAGCCGCCCGGGGAAACAACCCTAGGTTCCCGATGTGATCCGAGTGCCCGTGGGTCCCCACCACCAGCGTCACGTCCCCGGGGGCCACGCCCTGCCGGGCCAAGGCCTCCAGCAGCGCCTCGCGAGCCCAGGGGCCTCCGGTGTCCACGAGGATGGGGCCGCGCACCGCCTCCTCCAGGGCTGCCTCTGCGCCGCCATCTGCGGCCGGGGCCGCCCGGCGGCCGGGACCCGACGCCCAGGCCCGGGGCAGGACGAGGGTCGCGGTGCCATCAGCCCGCACCGCGTCGCCCGCCCCCTGCGGCTCCGCGTAGCCGCGCAGCAGCACCGTCACCGAGTGGGAGTCGCTGGACGCCAGAAAGGCGGGATCACCGAGCAGAGGCTCCGTCCGCGCTGGACCGCTCATGGCAGGGGAAGGAGCGCCCCCTGGGCGGCCCGGCGCGAGCGCTCGCGGCAGGCGCCGCCCCCTCCCCGCTTCCGCACCGCCGAGCGCCCGCGGCAGGCGCCGCCCCTCCCCGCTTCCGCACCGCCGAGCGCCCGCGGCAGGCGCCGCCCCCTCCCCGCCGAGCGCCCGCGGCAGGCGCCGCCCCCTCGCCCCCGCACCGCCGAGCGCCCGCGGCAGGCGCCGCCCCCTCCCCGCCTCCGCACCGCCGAGCTCCCCTGGCAGGCGCCGCCCCCTCCCCGCCCCCGCACCGCCGAGCGCCCGCGGCAGGCGCCGCCCCCTCCCCGCTTCCGCACCGCCCAGCGCCTGCGGCAAGCGCCGCCCCCCAGCTCTTAAAGCGGCATCGCCCCACCAGCCCTGCCACACGACCCCTCCTACCTAGATGCATCGGCACGGGTTCCTTTAGGCTCGTAGACCCATCAACATTTTAAGGATATCTTTTACCCTCTTCATTTTGAAACTAAACTACTGCTGTTCTCGAGTCTTTTCTTTTACCCAGAGTGAAAGACCCTGAATGTATAGAAATAAAATATAAGCTTAAACAGGGAGGGCACCCCACTAGTGAACTTGGGAAGTGAACAAAGGACCCCATCCCAGGAACTGGCCATACCACAGAATGGAATGTATGGTTTAGAGGCCTTAATTGCAGAAGGGCTGTAAATCCACAAAAGGCCAATTATGGGTTGCCATCTGTGAAGAACTGACCAGGGCGTCAGAGATGGGCAAACAAGATTAATGGGAAACGAGGAGATACCACTATTTACTTAGGGAGAGATAATTAACTCATGCCAAGGTTTGAGGAATTTACAACATTGTAGGTCAGGAAGACATCTACTTCCCTGGGTCGGGAGTTACGTACCCCCTTCCCCCGTCACGAGATAGGGACCCCTCCCAAAAGCTTGTGGTTTTTGTCTTTAAAAGCTGATTGTAACTGAACCTCGGGGCCAATCGGTCTAAAAGCTGACCGAGAGGCCCATCTGCAGATGCCTAATTAAAAGCCTCTTGCGCGTTGCATCAATTGGCGCGTGGACTCTTGATTCTTGGGGTGACGAATCTAGCTTGGGGACCCCTCCTCAATTCGGGGTACCCCAACAGGAGGAGGAGAAAGAAAAAAAAAGGTCAGGAAAACGGGAGAAATTTGCTCTCTACAGGCTCCCGTACGACCTATGGCGGCTGAAGCCTGAGCTGTGGTCCTTAACTTTCTTTCCTCTCCTGTGCAGTTTGCGCTGTGTGCCTTGTGAGCCTCGAGCTTTGTTTTGTTCTTGTTTTCTGGTACAGGGTCTCAGCGGAGCCCTGTTTGGTCCCTGACTTGCTACGTAGCTGAGGAAGACCTTGAACTCTTGGTCCTCCAGTGCAGTGGCTTCCCCAACCCCTGCCGGCGTGCTTGCGGCGGCCCCTCGACCCTGATGTGCGCACGCTTGAAACGGGGCTCGCTCGACTCAGTAGAAAGAAAGGTTTACTAGCTGGCGACACGTGAAACAGGAAACGCGTCTGCCCCACCCGGGGTCTCAGCGTGGCTTCCGGTGTCCTGTTCTTGTTAAGACTCACGTTTGCGGGCGGTGTTTGGGGGCTGGTGAGTGTCCCTTTTAGGCCTCTCATTTTGAGGCAGGTTCTCGTGTAGCTCCGGTCGGTCTTAAACTGAAACTGCCCCGGAGCAGGATGACGGCTTTGAACCTCTGATAACGCGTGCCTCCGTTTCTCAAGTGCTGAGATGACGGGTTTGCCACATCAGGTCTCGTGTGGTCCGAGCTAGCTGACATTCTACCAGCCGAGCCCTCCGGTGGCCTCTTGAAAAGGTCTACAATAGGCCCTTCCAAAAGCAAAGTGACTTCCCCACAGCTCACATGGTCACTGACCCGTCAGTGCAGGTGAGGACCAACCAGTGCATTCGAGGAAGCTTCAGCCCCATGGCTCACACACACACACACAGGGCGCACTCTCTCTCTCTCTCTCTCTCTCTCTCTCTCTCTCTCTCTCTCTCTCTCTCTCTCTCTCTCTCTCTCTCTCTCTCTCTCTCTCTCTCGCACGCTCGATGGAGTTGGCTGCATGTGCCTCTCTCTGAGGCTGAACTTGGCCCTGCTTCTCTCCACCTTTTCCTCCTCTCATGTTGCCATTCTGGGTCCCCAGGATCATGCCTGAGGTCATACGAAAAGGACTGTTACAAGGCTTGGGATGGGAACGGGGCAGAGTTTAGAAAACGCCATGGCCCCTCCTGGGGGTTCAGAGATCCTCTGGGTCATGCTTGGGATCGCCTGAAGTCTTGGTTATCTCCTCTTCCTCCTCCTCCTCTGCCTTCTCGTGCCGGTCACCGACCTCCTCCTTCCCAGTCCAGGTTTCCTGTAGACAAGCTAGGAGAGAACAGTTTCAGTACTGATGCCGGGGGATAGGGGAAGCTGGGAGCAGAGAGACCCAGCCTTTTCCCTTACCGGTTTCGGAGGCTGGAAGCACGTGACCTTCACAGAGGAAATGCTGCAGGGGCTGCTCCTGGTGGTGGAAGTACCAGTCTCCCACAGCATCCTCGAACTCCTCCAGCATGGTCTCACACTGGCGAAGGGCAGGAAGAGGACCGTTCACAGGAAACACCTCTGCTTCCCACTTCCTGGCTTCCCTCTCCACTGACAGGCAGGTAACCAGGTTACACCTGGATTACCACATGTGTGGCTCTCTTCCTTTAACATTTACTAGTATTTATGACTATCTAGTCCTTAGCATATCTACTCTGCTAGGTGACAAACGCCTGTAATCCCAGTTGCGAGGCAGAGGCAGAAAGGTCGTATATTTAAGCTCATTCTCAACTACAGACCAGCCTGGACTACATGTAACCCTGTCTCAAGAACTCAGTGTGAAGCCGGGCGTTGGTGGCGCACGCCTTTAATCCCAGCACTCGGGAGGCAGAGGCAGGCGGATCTCTGTGAGTTCGAGGACAGCCTGGTCTACAGAGCGAGCTCCAGGACAGCCTCCAAAGCTACACAGAGAAACCCTGTCTTGAAAAACCAAAAAAAAAAAAAAAAAAAAAAAGAACTCAGTGTGTCTCAAAGTCTAGCCGGTGAAGTGGGAACTGGTAATCACACCTGTGGTGAGAGTAAAACAAGGCCCAGAACAGCACATAGTAGGTACCCAGTAAGCAGTGGCAGATATTATTAGCCTTGCAATATTACTTCTTGATATGCTTTTGGGCCTGCCCTAATTAATGGTACAGTCCCTGCACAGAGGAAGACATCCCCTAGACGGACTTCTAGGATTTAGCTCTTGTCACCTCGCTGGACAGAGTGGTGTCCCATCCTACCTGCTTCTTGAGGAACGTGACCTCCACGCTGGGCTCGTCCCACAGCTCCAAAGGGATCCCCAAATCCACCTTCACCCCCTTCTGTACCAGGCCTTTCAGGGTTGCCATGGTCTGACTCTGGCCCTGAGGGACGGAAAACCTGGTGTTAGTCCAACCACCATCTCACCTCTTCTTTCCCCTTCACCAAATCAGTCTTAGCACCTGCTGGAGACTGGTGTGTTCTAGGAGGGAGTCTGGCTGTAACAGGGCAAATATTCCCCCAGGATCTTAGATGATAAAGGTCTGTTTCTGAGAAACAGGGTCCTGGGCTGGGAAGAGAGCTCAGTGGGTAAAATACTTGAGGACCTTAGTTCAATCCCCAGAACCCATATATATATATATGTATTTTTTTTAAGGCATGGAGGCACGGCATGAGCTTACAATTGCAGCACTGGGGAACAACAGACAGGTAGATTCTTGGGGTTCTCTGGCTACCTAGCCTAGCTTGCTTGAAAAATCAGTAAGCCCCTGAGAACCTGTCTCAAAAACCAAGGTAGGAGCAGAGTGTGGTAGTGTGTGCCTTTAATCCCAAGACTCGTGAGGCAGAGATAGGTGAGTTCGAGGTCAGCTTGGTCTACAAAACGAGTTCCAGGACAGCCAAGGCTGTTACACAGAGAAACCCTGTCTCAAAAAACAACAGCAAAAGCAAAAAGGTGGGTATGGCAAGATGTCTGAGTAGGTAAAGGTGCTTGCCACCAAGCCTAATGACCTGAGTTCAATCCTCAGGACCACATGGCGGAGAGAACCAAGTCACACGAGTTGTGCTCTGACCTCGGTTGTGACACATGCTCACATGAAATAATTATGGAACAACAAAACAAGGTGGATGGCTCCTGGGAAAACACCCAGTGTTGGTCTCTTGCTTCTGTACATGCAGACGTGCACATACATGAGCATACAGGGCACATGCAAAGCTTTTGGGGAGAAAGGGAAACCAGCAGGGCCCTGCTGAGGAAAGCCTTACCTTGGCATATCTCAACGAGCCCTTGCGCTCAGCATGGACACTGTAATCCAGGATCCGCTCACATAAATTCTCCAAAGCCTCTTCCAACCTTGTCTCACTGTGGGAAGAAGGGAAAGAAGAAGCCTTGATGTCTGAGGGACCGGGCCCCTCGGGGGTTGGTTAGAAGGTGGACAAGCAGACTCACGAAAGGCTGTAAGGCACGTGTCTCTTCCTCTTGCCTGTGTCTAGGACCTGCCCCAGCTCCAGCACTTCTCGAGACCGGCCTGTGCGACTCAGCTCTTCCTGTAGCTCCGTGCTCAGCAGCTTACACACTGGCAGTCAGGAGACACCCGAGGGGACGAAGGAGACAAGTGGTCACATGAGAGTCACTGTGCGTGATCCAACTCAGGAGAGCATCCATAGAAGCATACACTCTGTGGCCAGAGTGACTGGGAGAGGACACTGACTCAGTCTCAGTAGCTGTGTGATACTCGCTGGGTCCCAACTTCACCTCTGAAACGTGGATAAGACCCCCTTACAGAGGTGTGATGAAGATTTAAGTCCATCGACATTCGTAAACCCGCTAGTCATGTCTGGCACACAGCAGGCACTGTGTAAGTACTTGGTGTCACTCTGACATTACTCATTGAGCTATTTTTACATGTACATTAGAGTATAGACAGCATAAAACCCATCTTGTGTCCATAACACACTGTCAGATAGATATATAAACAAGAAATCTGTTTCCAGGACTAGTAAAACGGCTCATCGTGGGAGGAGAGAACAGACTCTTCCGTGTTATCCTCAGACCACACGTTTATCCACACACAACACAAATTTTAAAGGAATCAAAGAAAGCTGGGCGGTGGCAGAACACGCCTTTAATCCCAGCACTCTGGAGGCAGAGGCAGGCAGGATCTCTGTGAGTTCGTGGCCAGCCTGATCTACAAAAGCTACAAAGAAAAATCTTGCCTTGAAAAAAATCTCCTCCCCCAAGAAGACTTTGCAAAATGCAAAATTCATTCAAAGGTCGCCTATTCCACTGTAATTTCAATAAGGATGAACAAATCTTTTCCACCGTCATCTTTCCCAGCACCTGATCTGGCACTCGGTGAGTTGGGTTCTCAAAAGAGTCTCCTATAGAATTGACAGGCGCTGGGCGGTGGTGGTGCCCGCCTTTAACCCCAGAGGCAGAGGCAGGCAGATCTCTGTGAGTTCAAGGCCAGGCTACTGGTCTACAAGAGCGAGTTCCAGGACAGGCTCCAAAGACACAGAGAAACCCTGTCTCAAAAAACCAAAAAACCAAAAAAAAAAAAAAAAAGTGACAAGCTAAACAGGGGTAAATAACAAAAGTGTTTAAACTGCTACAACCTCAGACACACAGGCACTCCCATTTCCTCCAGGGACTTATGACACAGAAGGTGACAGCAAGGAAGAAATACAAAAAGCCATTTAAACTCCAGAAGAACAGATAGGAGCTTATCAGGATGTGGGGTGTTGGTGGCACACACCTTTAATCCTAGCACTCGGGAAACAGGCAGGCAGATCTCTGTGAGTTCAAGGCCAGCCAGTCTACAGGGTGAGTTCCAGGACAGCCAGGACTACACAGAGAAACCTTGCCTCAAACAAACAATACAGACAAGTGGGGATGGGAGCAGTCACGGAGAGACAAGGCACTCTCTGAGTGTGAGAAGTCATGTGTCTGAAGTACAGTCACTTTTAGGATGAGAATGAAGTATGAAAGTGTAAGAATGTTTGCCATTTACAAATACAAGACATTTACAGACACCTCCCACCCCCAAGAAGGTTGGCTTGAGATCTGGGAAGTAAAGTGCTTGCAAGCTTGAAGATCTGAGTTCAGATCCTCAGAACCTATGGAAAAGTTGGGTGAGGTGACGCATATAATCCCGGTGATTTGAGAAGACCGGTGGCTTATGCGCCGAACTTCCAGGGGAATAAGAGAACCTGTCTCAAACAAAAGGTAGACATTTCTCCTGAAGGAATGACACCTGCGGTTGTCCTCTGACATGTGTGTCATCCAGGTCTTCATCTGACAGCAGAAGTGATAGAGCAAGGGTGCCAAGAATAGGCCTGTGGTTAGGAAGACCAAGAAGTCCTAGGAGAACAGGGAGAGAGACAACAAGCCTCAGTGGCCTGGATCCTGACCGATACAGTCGGAGACCATGCCGCATGCAGCAGAATCCCTACAGTACACCCCAACTACAACGCCTCACACCGAAGGGCAACTTCTAAGGGGTGTGGTGTCTACCTTTCCTTTATGAGCTTCAGGTACCGACTTACTCACCTTTAAACCCCTGAAGGGGGGCATCAGGCCTGTAATTTGCGAGCGTCTTTGCCAGGGCGAGGCACAGGATGTCTAGGAGTTATGAACCTTAAACCCCACCCGTGCAGGCTATCCAGATTTAGGTCTGATAACAAGGCGGGAAACGCACTAAAGAAGATGCGAGCTCGGTAGGATCAACTTTACAGGTTCTTGAACTACAATTCCCACAATCCATTGGGGCCAGAGCCTGCAAGAAAAACCTGGCTCCTTCTGGATGCCGCCTGGGAAATGTAGTGTGAACCTAACCCTGAGTCCCTCCCTTAGTCCCATTCAAGAGTTACCAAGCTCCTAAAGAGCCTCTTTCTAGACGGTCGAGTGACCGTCTTTGATCCAGCCTTGAGCTAGAGAGGCAGGAGGTGGGATAGGCAGATGCAACAAGAACAGCTACTTTTCTATACCTTCGCATTTGCTGGGCAAGCGTTCTGTGTCATCTTCCTCCTTTTTCGTAGTCCCAGCCCAAGCACTGTACGCTGCCAGGAGGAAAAGCAGTATTTCCAACCGCACAGGTCCCATGACAAATCGCGGTCCACGCAGGCAGCCACAGTTTCCCTTCAGACTAACTTCTGGAAGGCAGCGGGCCCTTTAAATTTAGACGCAGCGGGCCACAGCTTTAAAAAAAAAAAAATCCATCGTGGAACGGTCAGCGCATGCTCAGAGCTAGCCCGAGAGTGGGCGGAGCCTATGGCTCTGGGCTTCCCCGCCTCAGTCTTGTGGCGCCTCCTGTAGGTCCTGGCAGCTGAGTAGTGAAGACACTGACTGAAGTAATTAGAATATAATAACATTATCCCTACACATGTACGTAGAATGTAATTTTTATATAATTTAAGCCTGTGTCACGAGATGGTCTATTTTGATGTAGGGAAGAGCAGCGATAAGCACTTGGCTTCTGCCAGGACCTACTCCTGCCAGGGGGCGGGGCCAAGATGGCGCCGAGCGCCGGGTGAGCGGCGCCTTGGCAGCGGTGAGGCTTTTACTGCTCCCAGGGCTTGGCTGGCGGGGGAAGGTCTGAGGTGTATCCGGGAGGAGGCCCTTTTGAAAGGGCCCATGTGAGACCCGCGAAGAGGACGGTCGGTTGTGTGTCCGTACCCGTGGGGACTCCGCGCGTGTTTGCAGTGGCAGGAGGTTGGGGAAATGTAGTGGGTTGTGAGCCTCCGGTAGCGCTGCCCGGGGAAATCTTCGAGCCGGTTCTCTGCTGAGGAAAGTGGTGCACAGATCTAGCTCAAGCTGTCTGCCCTCTGAGAAGTCTTCCTGTGGCTCCCGAGGCTGCGAAGAGTGTTTTATGAGCCCTTAGTGACAGAGCACCGCAGGGGACCGGGCACTACTTCTCGTGTCCCTGACACCAGGTACAGAGTGTGTGCTGAGTAATTGTACTCCCTGTAGACAAGATCGAACACAAGTCTGACAAGACCTGGGATGGCTTGAAAGGACCCAGTGCCCTTTGGCCTCTTTCCCCGGTCTCCCTAGCACTCGGTTCTGAACACTCCGGAGGTTGGTCTTCCTTGTGTCCATGTCAGGCAAGCCCCTTTCCTTTTGACCACAGAGTAATCTCTAAGCTTGAGTCTGTGTCTTCTTCATTTTGGTACTTGTTATACCAAGTGTTTATAGAACACTTACACCCCTAAGACTTACAGTTCATTTGTTTTTTGTTTTTTTTGTTTTTGTTTTTGGTTTTTCGAGACAGGGTTTCTCTGTGGCTTTGGAGGCTGTCCTGGAACTCGCTCTGTAGACCAGGCTTGCCTCGAACTCACAGAGATCCGCCTGCCTCTGCCTCCCGAGTGCTGGGATTAAAGGCGTGCGCCACCAACGCCCGGCACAGTTCATTTGTTTTAGCAGTGTCTCCAGGCACCAGTCTAGGCACCAGAGAGGTCAGTGAACATAACGGATATATTCCTGTCCACTGGTGAGGTCGGGTGGCGAAGAAGAAGTGATAGCTAAGCTTGGTGCTGCAGAGGCAGACGGATCTCAGTTTCTAGACTTTAGTGAGTTGCAGACAAGCCTCAGCAACTTGCTGAGACCCAGTTGTACAGGGGTTGTTTACCGTGTGGAAGGCCCTAGATCCACCCTAGAGTGAGATCATGTGTATACGTGCATATATATGAGGAGACAAAGAAGTAAAGCCAGGCTTGGTGGCCCTTGCCTGTGATCCCAGCACTTGGGAGGTGGAGAGACACCAAGAGACTAGGGGATAAGATCAGTGTTGTCTACATAGTGAATTTGAGGCCAGTCTGGGCTACATGAGACCCTGTCCCTAAAGAAAGGGGGTGGGGTGGGGTCATGTAGCCAGTTTGGGATGACAACAGCAAAAGCTATACAAACCAAGTGCGTGTCTGTCAGATTTAAAGGAGAATGATGGTGACAGAATAAAGTGGGAAAGCAGGGCGTTGGTGGCGCACGCCTTTAATCCCAGCACTCGGGAGGCAGAGGCGGGCGGATCTCTGTGAGTTCGAGGCCAGCCTGGTCTACAGAGTGAGTTCCAGGACAGCCTCCAAAGCCACAGAGAAACCCTGTCTCGAAAAACCAAAAAAACCAAAACAAAAAAAAAACACTTTAGACAGGAACTTACTGCATAGTCCAGGCTGGCCTCAAACTCGCTGTCTCCCTACTTCAGCCTCCAGAGTGCTGGGATTCCTAGTGTGCACTGTGTAGGGTCTCACTCTGAAGCATACCCTGGTGTGCTACTCAAGGCAGCCCATTGAAATCAGAAGTGTCAACCCCAACACCTGGACAGGAGACATTTGAAGGGAGCTCTTTGGAAGGGTTTTATGGCAAAAGGGGAACCATTACAGCAAAGAAATGGTAATCTAGTGTGTATTTGGACAGCAGGTAATCTCCGATGGAAACAGGAACACCTTGTCCAGGGGCTGTTAGAGTTCAGCAGGTGACAGGTTATGGTCACCTAGGCCAAAAAAGGGTCTGGTTGGGCTGCCTGGTTCGTTTTGGATTACGGCTGGGAATCGAACCCAAGCCCTTGTACATGCCAAGTGCTCTACCATTACATCATTCAGTCCTTGCCTGGTGGATTTGATTCAAGGGCCCAGATAGGAATGAGCTGTGCTGGGTGTGGTGACACAGGCCTGCAGTCCCAGCACCTGGGAGGGATAGATATCAGTATCAGGAGTCCAATTCAACCTTGGCTATTTATGGAGTAGGAGGTCAGCCTAGGCTACAAGAGGCCCTACTTAAAAAGGGGGGGGGGGGGGTGTCAGGTAGTAATGGCACACACCTTTAGTCCCAGCATCCAGTAGGCAGAGGCAGGTGGATCTCTGAATTTGAGGCCAGCTTGGTTCACAGAGCAAGTTCCAGGTCAGCCAGGGCTACACAGAAAAAAAAAAAATCAACAACAGCAAAAACCTGGTGTGGAGATGTAGCTCAGTTGTTAAGAGTATTTGCCCAGCCGAGCGTTGGTGGCGCACGCCTTTATCCCAGCACTCGGTAGGCAGAGGCAGGCTTTCTGTAAGTTCGAGACCAGCCTGGACTACCAAGCGAGTTCCAGGACAGACTCCAAAGCCACAGAAAAACCCTGTCTCGAAAAACCAAAAAAAAAAAAAAAAAAAGTATTTGCCTAGCAGACACAAAGTCCTGGGTTCCATCTCCAGCACCACAAAATCTAGGTATGGAGGTGCATGTCTATAACCCCAGCTTTAAGAGGGTAAAGGCAGAAGGATCCAGAGTCCAGGCTATCTTGTTACTGAGTTTGAGACTAGGCTACAGAAATCCTGTTCCCAAAAGTAAGACAAAACAAAACAAGTTGCCACTAGTCACAGCAGTGCCTGCGTATAATCCCAGTGCTTGAAATGCAGAAGTGGAAGCCAGGGGGTGGCGCATGCCTTTAATCCCAGCACTGGGAAGTCAGAGGCAGGTGGATCTCTGGGATCTCTGAGTTCAAAGCCAACCTGGTCTACAAGGTGAGTTCCAGAACAGCCAGTACTGTTAACACAGAGAAACCCTGTCTCAAAAAACCAAAAATAAAATAAAATTAAAAAAAAAAAAAGAAGCAGGAAGCTGGAATTAGAAGTACCAAGGCTAGATAGTGAGCCCGTGTCCAAAAAATTAAAAATAATAAAGGACAAATCAAGTTGTTAGATGATCTGAAGTTGAAGCAAGTAGGGAGGGAGCTCAGGGTTAGGTTTGAATTGTTTTTCTTTTATCTTGCCCTGTCCCACTGCCAGTGGCTCCATCTCTCCACCCTGGGGTGGCATCCTTCCAGGGACAGGAGTTGGAATTCCAGCATGGCCGAGGAGAAGAAGCTAAAACTCAGCAATACTGTGTTGCCCTCCGAGTCCATGAAGGTGGTGGCAGAATCCATGGGCATTGCTCAGATTCAGGAGGAGACTTGCCAGCTACTGACAGATGAGGTCAGCTACCGCATCAAGGAGATCGCCCAGGTAACCCTTCTGCCCAGCCTTGCTTTGTGTTAAAGATCCAGCTTCCTGAGGATGACCTGGAACTTCTCCCCCTCCTGCCCCCACCTCCCATTGCTGCGACTGCAGGTTGTACTAGCATGCTGTTTATTCGATGCTGGGCATTGAACTCGGGTCCCTGTGCATGCTAGGCAAGCGCTTTACTCACTGGGCTATATTCCTCAGGGTCTTAGAATAACATTTCTTCTCCAGCCGGTGTTGGTGGCGCACGCCTTTAGTCCCAGCACTCGAGAGGCAGAGGCAGGCGGATCTCTGAGTTCCAGGTCAGCCTGGTCTACAGAGCAAGTTCCAGGACAGCCTCCAAAACAATACAGAGAAACCCTGTCTCGAAAAACATCTCTTCTCCTCCCAACCCCTAGGATGCCTTGAAGTTCATGCACATGGGGAAGCGACAGAAGCTCACTACTAGTGATATTGACTATGCATTGAAATTAAAGAATGTGGAGGTGATTTGGAGGGACGCAAAGGGGATGGAGGCTTCAGAGTGGAGAGACGATGCACGTGTAGCTGCCTCCGTGGTGATTTCTCATGCTTTGTTCTGTCTCAATATAGCCGCTGTATGGCTTCCACGCTCAGGAGTTCATCCCTTTCCGTTTTGCCTCTGGTGGGGGCCGGGAGCTCTACTTCTACGAGGAGAAGGAAGTGGACCTGAGCGACATCATCAACACCCCTCTGCCTCGGGTGCCTCTGGATGTCTGCCTCAAAGGTGGAGGGAGGGCAGAGCTGGGTGCGCAGGGAGGAGGGCATGGAGGCATGTGATGGGGGCGGCACAAGTGAGGGAACAAAGAAACAGCCAGTGTGAGACCCCTGGTGAAGGGCCAGGGAGGCTCCGGGAGGAACACACACCTTCCCTCATGTGGGCGACTCCCCAGTGTCCGTGCCCAGTAACACGGTTTGACATCTTCCTTGCAGCACATTGGCTGAGCATTGAAGGCTGCCAGCCAGCTATACCAGAGAATCCGCCTCCAGGTATCATTTCCGTGCCCAAGCCTCTGTTTTCCCCTCCTTCATCCTCGGTCCTATGGGCTCCTCCCACCTTGTCATCACTCCCCCTCTGACCGCTTCCCACCAGCTCCCAAAGAGCAGCAGAAGGCTGAGGCCACAGAACCCCTGAAGTCAGCAAAGCCAGGCCAAGAAGAAGACGGACCCCTGAAAGGCAAAGGTCAAGGGACAGCTGCAGCTGATGGCAAAGGTCAGGGTCCAGGCCACGCCTCTTCCTCCTCTTATCCCAAAGCTCAGTGAAGCAGGTGAAGGCAGGGATGACGGAACCCCTTTCTGGCCTAGAAGCCTAGAGAAGTGCTATGTGTTGTGGTGAGGGTGTGTCCTGTACAGAAGCCTCTTCTGCAGCTTGCTTTTTTGGTGTGTGTGTGTGTGTGTGTGTGTGTGTGTGTGTGTGTGTGTGTGTGTGTGTGGGAGGAGACCAAAAAAAAGTCATTTTAGCAATCAGCCCTCTTGTGCTGTCTACTTTGTTTTTGGGGTTTTTTTTGCTTTTGTATGGTTTTTTGAGACAGGGTCTCAGTGGCCTGGAAGTCTTCAGGTAGGCTAGGCTGACTGGCCAGCAAACCCCAGGGATCCTCCTGTCTCTACCTCCCCAGCACTGGAATTCCAAGCATGCACTACCATGCCCAACTTTTTTTTTTTTTTAATATGGGTTCCCTGTGCTTATAAAGCAAGCGCTTTACTGAGTGAGCCATCCCCCAGCCTGAGCTTCCTTTTCAAGCCTGTCTCCCCAATCACAGGGAAGGAGAAGAAAGCGCCTCCCTTGCTGGAAGGAGCACCTTTCCGCCTGAAGCCCCGCAGCATCCATGAGCTGTCTGTGGAGCAGCAGCTGTACTACAAGGAGATCACAGAAGCCTGCGTGGGGTCCTGTGAGGCCAAGAGAGCGGTAAGCCTGCCTCTGGCTGCCGGGCCGCGGGAGCTTTCCTCCAGCAAACGGTCTCACCGGACTCGTGCCCCCTTGACAGGAAGCTCTGCAGAGCATTGCCACGGACCCGGGACTCTATCAGATGCTACCACGCTTCAGCACCTTCATCTCTGAGGGGGTGAGAGGAGGGACAGGCCAGACCAAGGATGAGGCTCCAAGGAAGGGGGCGGCAAGGGGAGTCCATCTGAAGGGTTTCCCTCTGCTCCCCCCCCCACTAAGTTTCCCTCCCTCAGGTCCGTGTGAATGTAGTTCAGAATAACCTGGCCTTGCTCATCTACCTGATGCGCATGGTGAAGGCCCTGATGGACAACCCCACGCTGTATCTAGAGAAATATGTGAGTGCTCTTGCCCACCTCCTGCCTTTTCCAAGGCCAGGGCCCCTTCTGCCAAACGCACCACAGATCAGGTACCAAAGAGGCTGACAGTGCCTGGCCTCCCTCAGGTGCACGAGCTGATTCCAGCAGTAATGACCTGCATTGTGAGCAGACAGCTGTGCCTGCGGCCAGATGTGGACAATCACTGGGCACTCCGGGATTTTGCTGCCCGTCTGGTGGCCCAGATTTGTAAGCATTTCAGCACAACCACCAACAACATCCAGTCCCGGATCACCAAGACCTTTACCAAGGTGAGTGCCAAAAACATATCAGGTGAGTCGGATGATGGAAGTCACCCTCTAGGGTTATCCCCGGAAAGAAAGCACCTTACCCATCTGCTGCAGAGATACCCAGAACATGGGGCGGACTGGAGCCAGGGAGATTGCGTCCAAAGGGCTTGCACCTCTGTGTCTTGACGCTCTGTGTTTGTAGGTGGTGTCAGTCCTTAAATTAGCCTTTTCAAACAGGGTGTCACACCCCAGGCACACTTTAAACTGAGGATGGCTTTGAACTTTTTGTTTTGCTTTTTTGATTCTGGGTTTCTCTGTGTAGTCCTGGCTTTCCTGGAACTGGCTCTGTAGACCAGGCTGGCCTTGAACTCATAGAGGTCTGCCTGCCTCTGCCTCCGAGTGCTGGGGCTAAAGGTGTGCGCCACCACTGCCTGCAGCTTTGAACTTATAATCTTCACGTCTCCCTCATGTGTGCCAGGATGGCAGGCATGTACCACCAGGTCTGGTTTAGCAGTTAGCCTTTCAAAACCTTTTCATCTGGGTTTTCCTTTTCTCTACAGAGCTGGGTAGATGAGAAGACTCCATGGACAACTCGATATGGCTCCATTGCAGGCCTGGCAGAGCTGGGACATGATGTTAGTGCCCAGGGCAAGGAGGGCCAGCTGCATGTGGTGTGAGACCTCTGGGGACCATCTAATCTGGGTTCTCCCCTTCCTTCCCACCAGGTAATTAAAACACTGATTCTGCCAAGGCTGCAGCAGGAAGGGGAACGGATCCGCAGTGTCCTGGATGGGCCAGTACTGAGCAATATTGACCGCATCGGAGCGGACCATGTGCAGAGCCTTCTCCTGGTGACGAGCCCCACCCCACCCGCCCCTTCTTCCCATCAGCCCCACTCCCAGCCCAGAAACACAGCTACAGTGTTTAGCAAGCACGAGGCACATCTTAACTTTTACTTTTCAGACGTCAGCATTGTGCACATGGAAAGTTAGGCACAAACAGAAGCGAGAGGCCTAACAGTCACTAACCTCTGGACCGCACTGTCCTCACATCACTCCTGTCTCACCCTACACAAGGCACATGAGCACCCCATGTGTCATCACTAGATAACAGCAGATCCTGTCCACGCCAGCCAGTCTGTACAGGAGTCTGTCACTTGTCGACTCATAGATGGAGTCTTGCCTGGGCTAGTCCGGCACCTGTGAGGTAGACCATGCTGGGCCCGTGGCAGTCCTGCTACCTCTGCTTTCTTGAGTACTGAGATTACAGCAATGCACCACCACACCCACCGAAATCATTCCCTTTTATTTTTAAAAGACTTTTTGTATGTTTGTGTGAATGTATACCGTGTGTACAGGTGCCCACAAAAGCCAGAGGAGGATGACAAATCTCCCGGGACTGGAGTTCTAGGTGATTGTGCTTTATCTAAACGTGTGAGCCACCTCTAGTCCCCCACTCCCTTTTGTGTGTACTGCTGGGAGCTGAACCTAGGGCCACATGCATGTTTTCAAAGCACTGTACCACTAAGCTGTATTCCCCTTGGCCCTCTTTTTTTTTTTTTTTTTTTTTTTGAGACATTCATCTACCCATGCTCGCCCTAAGTCCTCTTTGTACTCTGGCTCGCTCGGAACTCAGTGATCCTCCTGCTTTAGCACGAGTTCTGGGACTACAGGCCTGAACCCCCACAGCCGGCTCAGATGTGGTCCTTATGGAAGGTGGCAGCTGTTCACTGTGGCCCGGCTCTAGCGGGCAGTGGGGAGCTCCTGTCCTGTCTCACGTGTGCCGCACAGTACCAGCCCTCACTTTGCCTTCTCTGCAGAAACACTGTGCCCCGGTCCTGGCGAAGCTTCGCCCTCCACCCGACAATCAGGATGCCTACCGGGGAGATTTTGGGTCCCTTGGGCCCCTTCTCTGCTCCCATGTGGTGAAGGCCAGGGCCCAGGCCGCAATGCAAGCTCAGCAGGTCAACAGGACCACACTTACCATCACACAGGTCAGCTGCTGAGGGAGGAGGCTGACAGGAAATATGCCACAGCCAGCAATCTCAGGGAGCCTGACCCCTCCCCCACCTCCGGTGAAGAGCTTAGAGCAAGCACAACCCAGGTCTGCCTTCAGTGTTGACATTTTCTTCCTGTCTCTTTTCATAGCCTCGGCCCACGCTGACCCTCTCACAGGCTCCTCAGCCAGGCCCTCGTACGCCTGGCTTATTGAAGGTCCCGGGCTCCATTGCCTTGCCTGTCCAGACACTGGTGTCTGCGAGAGCTGCTGCCCCTCCTCAGCCTTCTCCTCCTCCAACCAAGTTTATCGTAATGTCCTCATCTTCCAGTGCCTCATCAACCCAGCAGGTATGTGGGGCCACTGTGAGGATGTGAGGAGCACGTGGGAAGCCTCCCAAGCAGAGGCCTAAGCCCTCCGGGCCCAAACCCAGAAGGTAGAAGGGCCACTCGTCAGGATCTTAGCACCTCAAGCTAGCCGGTCTCCTGGAGCGTTCAGTGGGGACTGTCAGGGAAGGTGGGAACCGAGGGGAGCAAGGGCAACATGAGCCCAGGCCTTCCAGGTGTGAGGTAGACACCATACGGTCACCAGTCACGCTGCCTGTCTTTCCCCCCAGGTCCTCTCCCTCAGCACCTCAGCTCCTGGCTCAGGCTCTACTACTACCTCCCCCGTCACCACCACAGTTCCCAGCGTGCAGCCCATCGTCAAGCTGGTCTCCACTGCCACTACTGCACCCCCAAGCACGGCCCCTGCTGGTCCCGGCAGTGTTCAGAAATACATCGTGGTCTCCCTTCCCCCAACAGCGGAAGGCAAAGGAGGCCCCCCTTCTCATCCTTCTCCAGTCCCTCCATCTTCTTCACCATCCCCACTTGGGGGCAGTGCCCTCTGTGGGGGGAAGCAGGAGGCTGGAGACAGCCCCCCTCCAGCTCCAGGGACTCCAAAGGCTAATGGCTCCCAGCCTACCGGACCTGGCTCCCCTCAACCTGCTCTGTGATCACACCACATCGCTGATCTCTTCCGCAGAGTCCTACACGCACAAAGAACGCGTGAGGGAGGTGGGAGGGGGCTGTTTTCCCCAGTGACTTTCTCTTAGATACTGTACAGTAAGTTCCTCAGAATAAAAGTTGCCTTTGTAAGCTTGTGAGCCTCCCATGTCACATACAACAGGAAGGTGAGTCTATAAAACCTTCCTGGTTTTGAGACTTCCTGTCCAGATCCAAAGACACAAGAAAGAAAATGTCCTCTTTCTGTTCAGCTGCCTCTGCTGACTTTGCTGTCCATACCCTCATCTGGGGAGCTTCAAATCCGAATTACATAGGCGTTGCTGTGGCTCAGATGTCGCACCCACTTGTGAGGGTTGGCACTACCGCAGGCACTAAAGGACAGCCTTAGGAATCTAACTTGGAGGCCAGAGCATGTGTGCCGAGGGAGTTCAAAGGAGAGGCTGGCAGGACCCAGCCCCAAGGGGGATGCTGAGGGGGAGGGCCCATGGCTGGGAGGCCCCTGTGAGCCAGGGACATCCATCTGTAAGTAAAACAGAAGATGAGAGGCTAGACAGCTACCTGGTACCAGAACTGGGCTGTTGCGGAAGGTGCATGAGGGTCAAGAATAAATACCTGGAAGAGGCCTGAGAGTTGAGAGCCTCCTTGTACCCGGGGCAGGTCCCAGTGCAGGGCTCCTTCTCCCAGCTCTGCCTTCTGATCTGGGCTGCTCAATTCCTGAGACAGGCTGCAGGTGGACAGGGAAGATGCTCACCTAAGTGGCTAGTTCCGTGCTAGAGCAGGGGCTCTACCCAGGGAGTCTTCCCAGCAAGCATCCTGACCTGACTACCCCTCGAGGCAGGGGAAGGTGCACATGAATGTTGAGAGCTTGGCTGCAAAGAGGAAAAGAAGAGTCAGCCCCAGGATGGCAATGTCTTACCCTGTCTGCATTGTTCTTGAGACACTCATGCAGTTGAAGATGACTTTGAACTTCAGGTTCTCTTCCCTAGGGTGCTAGGATTACCGGTGTGCGGTGTGCACTACACTTTGTGCGGCGCTGAGGATCAAACCCAGTGCTTTGTACATGCTAAGCAAGCATTAGATATGCTGATCTACATCCCCAGCCCCTGCTCTGCTCCTGCTCGATGTCCCAACAGGAGTTCAACACAGATACATTACCTCTGTAACCCTCTCCCAAATGCCCCAGCCTCTCAATGAAGTGGAATTTAAACTTGGCGGATGCAAACACTGGTTTGTTTTAAGATGAGATCTCACTGTGAAGCCCAGATTGGCTTCAAACTGATGTTTCTCCTTCCTCAGCCTCCCAACTGCTGGGATTACAGGCACACATCACAGAACAGAGCTTTAAGGAACTCGTCTGCAGGAAGAATTAGCAGGCCCTAGGTCCTGTTTCCTGTCCTGTACAGTTGAACTGGTTTTGAGTAACCCCCACTCTTTTTTTGCGTTTTGTTTCAAATTCCCTATGTATTCGAGATCGCCTTAAACTCCTGATCTGTTTCTGTCTCCCGTGGGCTGGCATTGTAAGTGTGTGCCACCATACCCAATTTGACCAGCCCCAACTCTCACCTCTTAGGGGGCAGGTCACACCGTAACTTCAGGTAAATCTGGAGCCTGGAAAAGGTGGCATACAATCACTAACATTGTATCCTATTGGCATTCCATCACTGCTTATCTGGGGCTTCCACAGGAGGCTGCTTTAGTTGTACCCGAAGGAAAAGGGCTGAGGTCCATCCCAACACGAGCTAATTTCCAACCTGCATGCTATCATCTCTGCTGCCACCCTTCCATATTACAGCTTGGCTTAGAGGAGTTGTAAACACAGGAACTAGTCTCACCGGCCTGAGCCTCGGTCCCACTGAACAGAAGGAAACAGCCGGAAGGGGAGTGGTGAGGGGAGGTCATCAGAGAGCTGGTAACGCATCACAGTCAGCTGAGGCCAGAGAGGAGCAGGTCAGCATGCTCTTGCACTGGGACTGCCTCCCTCCCCTCTGGTGGATGGGGTACACCAGGCCACCCGAGACCTGACCTCGCCCTGAGGTGGCTGCAGGCGGAGGATCCGGTGAGACTCAAACTCATCTAGATTGACGGAGCTATGGAATGACACCTCATCAACTCGAATTCCTGGCCCATAACCTGAAACGAGAAGATGGCTCTCCCAACCCATGTTCAGAAGGGAAGAGACATTTCCAGTGTCTCTCCATGATATTTTTGGAAAGAAAAAAACTCATGTTCCCCTTACCTCTCAGTTCTGACTTTCCCACACAGAATTCTTCTGTCAAGCCGATGTACATCTCTGTGGGAGGAAAGGACACGGAGGGCATCAGATACCACCACATATCACCAGGAAGCCCGTCCCACACTAACCATGGTCCTCACCAGAACCTCCAGGAAGGAAGCTCTTGAGCCGTATCTCTCCTTGGACATCCACCTTCAACAAGGAGCCCTGGGGTGGGACGGAAGGAAGTTAAAACTCCGCCTTCCTCAAGCCCCATTTCCCTTCAGCTCCAGGGGTGGGAACCCAGACTTACATTAGCTGCAATCAGTACAGACAGCCTCTCGACCACATCTAAAAACACTTCATTCTTTTGGCTCTAAGAAAGAGAGGGGTTTGAGTTGTGGAGGCTGAAAACTGTTCTAACATGGACAAACAATGCCGTGCGTGCTCACATATGCCTGCAATCCCAGTGCTTAGGAAGCTGAGGTAGGAGAACTGCCGAGTTCACGGCCAGCCTTGGTTATAATGTGAGAGCCTCAGTTACCAGATGACCCTGTCTCAAAAAAAACCAAAACCAAAACCAAAGACCTGGGACTACAGAGAATGGCTTGGTCAGTAAAGCACTTGCCACATGAATGTAACAGTCTGAGTCTGATCCCCAAAACCCATGTGAAAGTCCAGTGTGGGGATAGGAGCCTATAACACCTACCCTAGGGAGTAGTCAGTGAGCTCCAGGCTACTCAAAGATCCTGTCCAAAGAAGGTGAGCGGCATCCCTGAGGAGGACGTCAAAGCCCCCACACAAAGGCATGCACCTCACGTACACACATAAGAGGCATGGGTAGGAACCCAGGGATAACAGAAGGAACCATGTCAAAAGCAGTGGAAACATAACCCAATTGCTTGGACTCTGGGGTGTCAGAACAAACAAAACAAAACAAAACCCCATCAAGTCTGAGCCTTTCATCCCAGCACTCGGGAGGCAGAGGCAGGCGGATCTCTGTGAGTTCGAGACCAGCCTGGTCTACAGAGCGAGTTCCAGGACAGCCTCCAAAGCTACACAGAGAAACCCTGTCTCGAAAAACAAAAACAAAAAACACATCAAGTCTGGCCTCACTGATCGGCCCCTTACCTGGTCAGAGCGACTGGACAAGACCGGGCGACTGGCAGCACTGCTTGGGGCCACTCTGTTCTGCTGTGTCTCTGCCCCAAACTGTAAAACATCCAAGGCAACCGCCTCAGCTTTGATGCTCACAGACATCAGCCCCTCCTCTTTCCCTGCTACTGACCAATCCAACACTGCTGAGGTCAAAGAGGCTGAAGGGCTTGCTGACCACAGCTTCGGTTTGGATGAAGTTCCTCAGCATTTCTGTGGAGGTAGTCTGCACATAGCCATAATCCTAATGGACAGAAAGAGTGAAATAGCGTGGACTTTGCCTCCTAACCACACAATTCTATGACAGAAGAGAGGCCATTTCTTCAGGGTAGCAGGGAATGAGACAGGAAGTCCTTGGGCTGGGGAGAGGGTTCGGAGGGTAAAGGGCTTGCTCAGGGGAAGGAAAGCCGGGCAAGGTGATAATGACACCTATAATCCTAGTGCTCCCATTTGGAGATGAGAGACGAGACAGAAGAGTCCAGAAACCTGCAGGCTAGCTAGTTTAGTGTGCGTGCGCTGAAGAAACCTTGCCCCTTCTCTTTTTGTCTCTTCCTCCTTCTTCTCCCCGCACCTGAATCACCCTTCCTCCCTGCCCAGCTTTTCAAGACAGGATTTCTCTGTGTAGCCCCAGCTGTTCTGCAACTCACTCTGGAAAACAGACTGGCCCTGAACTTGGAGATTCACCTGCCTCTGTCTCCCAAGTGTACCACCACACCCGGCTTCTTTTTCCAATGTTTTGAATGTAACCCTGGCTGGCCTTGAACTCGTTATGTAGACAAGGCTTGCCTCAAACCAAAGTGATCCATCTGCTTGTGGGTGCTGGTATTTGAAAGGTATACACCACCATGACCAGAAAAGGACAAGGTAGAAGGTAAGGACCAATGCCCGAGACTGTCCAACAGAGAAGAGAAAGAGGGAGCCCTGTGAAACAGCTCAGCCAGTGAAGGTGCTTGCTACCAAGCCAGCCAACCTGAGTTTAATGCCAAGGACTCAGATAGCAGGAGAAAACTGTCTCCAGCAAAGCCGGGCGTTGGTGGCGCACACCTTTAATCCCAGCACTCGGGAGGCAGAGCAGGAGGATCTCTGTGAGTTCAAGACCAGCCTGGTCTACAGAGCTAATTCCAGGAGACCCTCCAAAACAATACAGAGAAAAACCCTGTCTCAAAAAAACAAAAAAAAAAAAACTGTCTCCAGCAACTCCACACACGTGCAGTGGTGTGGGCAACCACACAGGCAACATGAATGAATACTTTTAAAAAGAGCAAAGTCTTTGGGCTTTACCAGTACTTCATCCAGCAGTTCGTAGACAAGAGCCACGTTCCGTGAGATGGTCCCCTCACTGAGGGAGCCACAGTAGTCTCCCAAAAGAGTGGCTAACCTAAGGAGACACAGTTGAGTGTGTGTGAATAAACCGCCTACGCCCTGCTTCTCGGGTGCCGTCCCAGCCCCACTCACCGGGAAAGCAGCTCGAGGAGGCTGAAAGGAGAGACGTTTTCGGTGGTTGTGGCTACCAAATAGAGACTACTGTGTCTGATGTGAATGAAATGACGGTCTTCGTGATACTGCGGCGGAGTTGGGGGGAGAGGCATTAAAAGACCAGAACTGCAGCAACGTAGCCCACGAGATGGCACCCTAAGGTCGCTACTGCTGACAGCAGAAAGTGTGAGTGTGGGTGATCCCTGAGACCTCTCAACTACCCGGCCTCCTAACGTGTGACCTACCTCTTGGGGCTGTTGACAGCCAAGAGATGTGGGTTCGGGGCTCTGTTTCTGGCGTCTTGTTAGCACTCAGTAAACACCCTTGGAGAAACGTGTCCCTTCCCCTCCCTGGAAGCTTCCTATCAAGCAGCCCTTGAAAGGGAGAGACGAGGCACCCACCAAGCTCTACAGTCCTAAGCCCCTGCTCGCCCGCCTCAGGCGGTTACCATGACAACCGGGGACTCGCCTCCAGGCAGTCCCGTCAGCTTCCGGTAAAAGAGCTCGGCCACATCACGACCGCCACTGTCCCCGCGAACTGGCAGGATAGTTAAGGAACAGGCGACACAGACTGACTCTGGGCTCGACGTCTACCAGCTACTCCACCCCGCCTGGCGGGCCAAGGATACAGTCTTTGTAAATGAGCGGGTCCCCCTTGGAGGACAGAATGAAGAACTGGGAAATCATGGCTGTTCAGGAGGGCAGACGAGACGCCGCTGAAAGTGGAACCCACCCCGCCCTGCGGTCGCGGAACAAAAGGACGCGCGGAGGCGGGCGCTTTAAGAAACAGCCCCTCCCACACCCACGCGGCCGCGCACTAATTCCGAACCGCGGGAAACCCGGGGCCCACCCCGCCGGGGCCTGGCGCTCGCTCTCCGGCCCTCCCCTTCGCTCCCTGTCACTCAACCCAGACTCGCGCGGTGATTGGCTGAGACTGGGGCCGGCAGCGGTTAGGGACCCCCGCTCTGATTGGCCCCGTCCTCAGCGGCGCGCGTCACGTGGACAAGGACGTTTCGCGCCAATTTCGGTTGGCCAGCTGCGTCGCCCCGCGCGCGGTCTTTGCTTCCCCCGCAGTGAGACTTGTGCTCGGCTCCTGGTGCGCGGTCCCCGGCAGCATGGCGCTTAAGGACTACGCGATCGAGAAAGGTGACGCGCTGTGGGGCGGGGAGCGGCGCTCCCGCGCGGGGCTTCCCTGCCAACACCTGCCGAGGGGAGCTGGGGTCTGGGGCAGCCGGGGTCTGTGACTGGGGACGGGCGGCCTGCGCCCGGGGCGGGCGGGCATCGGGAGGGAGGCAGCCCTGCCTGGAGAGGGGTGATGTGGTCGCGTGCCGGGGACGGCCCGGCCGAGGCCACGGGGAGGAGGGGCGCCGCAGACACAGCCTGGGCGACGTGGGAACTCATGCAGTGCGTGGCCCGGGGGACCCGGGCCTTCCCTCCGCGCTCCGGGGCGCTGGAGGATTCCCGCGTCCACTCGAGACGCGCCGGGTTCGGGGGCGGGGCTTGCCGGGCCGCTACGCGCCGGGATTGGTTGTCTTAGGCCGCCCTCCAAGCGGAAGTAGAAGCTGGCGGAAGTGGCGCTGCCCGTCGGAGGGAGTGTCGTGTGTAAACAGTGTCCTTCCGCGCGGCGGCGGCTCCCGGGGTAGCTGCCGCGGGGAGGGGCGTGCCTGGAACCGGGAGGCTGAGCGCCCGGCCGCGGGAGGCGGCGGAGAAGTGGCCCCCAGGGCCCCTTGGGCGTGCTGGCCAATCGCCGCGCTGCCACCCGCCTCGGGCGGAGGAATCCCGGGCTGTGAGGCGGCTGGAGTCCGGACCCATGTGCTTCTTTGTTTACTAAGAGCGGAAGCGGTGGCGGGAGCGGGGTGCGGGGTGCAGAGGCGGCCGAGTGGCGGACGTCCTGGCGAGAGAAGAAGAAAAAGAGTTGTGAGTTGTGCAGGTGGAAGGAGAGTTGCGAGTCGGTTGTGAGCGAGCTGAGAGGACTGAGGAAACAGATTCCTAACTGAGGCAGTGAGTGAAATGCTCTTGGGAAGCTTGGGGCAAGACTCGTTAAGTGCCCGGGACCTACGTTCCTCCCCGGGTAAAAGCAGACTTCTGGGAAGGAGCACTGCCTCCTTGGGGGAGAACTGGGTAGGCTTGTTTCGAATGTTAACTAGCTAGTTCGTCGGTCCCGTCTAAATGAAAGTGGGTTTCTGTTGAAAATTTGAAGAATCCGAAAGGAAGATTGTGTCTGAGGTATTTGGTACATGAATTGTGTGTGCTGCGCGAACATAAACGCGGCTTGCACGTGGGTGTTAGACACGGGCCGAGAGTGTGTTCTCTTCCAGCCTGTGGGTGGATCCCAGGGATTGAACTCTGATGCTCAGACTCGGAAGCAGTGCCCTTTAAACCTCACTGTGCCTTAAGACTTGCTCTTTATTTTTACATTTGTTTGTAGAAAAAGTTCGGAAGTTTCTGCAAGAGTTCTATTATGACGATGACCTGGGAAAAAAGCAGTTCAAGTATGGAACCCAGTTGGTAAGGCCCAGGGTCGGGTAGGGAAGTGGGATGGCGTGTAATAGTTTGTGCAAGGTGGCTATCAGCGGGTGACTTGGTGTTGATTGCTGTGTTGTGCACAAAGTTTTTATTTCTTTTTAGTTTTTGGGTTTTGTTCTTTTCTTAACTGTTTGAATTATGTTTATTCATGTATGTGTGGGCTCACGTGGGTATGGAGGTCAAACGGACAATTTGTGGGGGTCCATTCTCTCACTGTGTGGGATCTGGGGCTCAAACTCAGTTCTTCAGGCTGGGTGGCAAGTGCCTAACCCATTGAGCCATCTCTCCCCTTCCTGGCTCTTGGTTTTCAGAGATTGTATGACATGGACTGGCTTCAAGAGCACTCTGGTTAAACAGCTGAGGTTGGCTTGTGTGTCCCAAGTGCTGGGCTTACAAGCACACCACCATGCTAGACTGTAGTGGCTAGGAGTCAGGAAGTTCTCACTCTCCCCTGTGTTCTTTCCTCTCTGGGGATGTAGGGATGGCTGGTGACGCTAAAGCATTGCTGTCTGTTCCTTGCCTCAGGTGCATCTGGCTCATCGGGAACAAGTGGCATTGTACGTGGACCTAGATGATGTAGCTGAAGATGACCCTGAGTTGGTCGACTCAATTTGTGAGAATGCCAAACGCTACTCAAAGCTGTTTGCTGATGTTGTACAAGAGCTTCTGCCTGAGTACAAGGAGAAGGAGGTAGGTTACTGGTTTCTGACTCTCCTGCCCCACACCCCCTGTATTCTTTTCCTATCCTTCTCTCGCTTTTCCTGTCTGCTTTAGGTGGTGAATAAAGATGTCCTGGATGTTTACATTGAGCACCGGTTGATGATGGAGCAGCGGAGCAGAGACCCTGGGGCAGTCCGGAACCCTCAAAACCAATATCCTTCTGAGCTGATGCGTAGATTGTAAGTGTCTTTGTGGGTAAGGTTGGGGACTTGTTCTCCAGGACCTTGCTGACAAACGTTTTTTTCTCTAGTGAGTTGTATTTCCAAGGCCCAAGTAGCAGCAAGCCTCGAGTGATCCGGGAAGTGCGGGCTGATTCTGTGGGGAAATTGGTAACTGTGCGTGGGATTGTCACTCGTGTCTCTGAAGTCAAACCCCGGATGGTGGTGGCCACATATACTTGTGATCAGTGTGGGGCAGAGACTTACCAGCCGGTAAGTATACAGTAGGGAACAGGGAAATACTTGTCTGGGCTCATTGTTATTGAAATAAACTGTTCCGCTACTTAAAATCTTTCATTATCTCTCTGGCTGTTGCAAAAATTGCTGTGGTATTCATTTTTAACTCAGCGATTTGATCTCTCTGGTCATTTTATTGATTCTGCTTCACTCAGAATCTTTCAATGGTTTCATGTACTTTCAGAATGTCTCGTTGCAAAGCAGAAATGATTCCTGTGGTGATTGTAAGGGGCTTTTGATTTCCTGTTTCCTTTCTCTTGTCTAGATCCAGTCTCCCACCTTCATGCCTCTGATAATGTGTCCCAGCCAGGAGTGCCAAACCAACCGCTCAGGGGGGCGGCTTTACCTGCAGACTCGTGGTTCCAAATTTATTAAGTTCCAGGAAATGAAGATTCAGGAACATGTGAGTCCTGCAGTTGGTTATACAGTGGGGGGGGGGGGGTGGCTGGGTGAAGTCCTGGGGAAGAGAAGTCATCTGTAGAGCAAGCAAGCTTACACTAGAATTTTTTGTGCTTCTAGGTAGAGGGTCGAGTGATTTAATTGAAATTTTCTGGTTGAATTGGGATGAGGGTAAGAGCTCAGCTTCCCGAAGTCTTCTAATTTGGGATGGCTGAGTCTCAACCATAAAATGGGCTTCCGGAGTGAATTCAGGTCAGGTCCTTGTCTGCCTCACTTTCTCCTTGACTCATTTGTTTCTGTGTTCTGTCCTCCAAACTGCCTAGAGTGATCAAGTTCCTGTGGGAAACATCCCTCGTAGCATCACAGTCGTGTTACAAGGAGAGAATACAAGGACTGCCCTGCCTGGTGACCATGTCAGTGTCACTGGTATCTTCTTGCCAGTCCTGCGGACAGGCTTCCAACAGATGGCACAGGTGAGGGAGCTTTCAAAATGAGGAAATAGTTCCCTTTCCACCTTGCCCACCTGCTCACTCTCTGCACACCCTTAGAAAAGTAAAACCAGTAAGGCTTGTGGTTGTGGAGAGGTTCTGGTGATGGACAGTTTAAAAGGAAGCCATTCGTGTTGCTATTCTGCCCAGGGTTTACTCTCAGAAACTTTCCTGGAAGCCCACCGGATTGTGAAGATGACTAAGAGTGAGGATGACGCAGCGGGGGCTGGAGAGCTGAGCAGGGAGGAACTAAAACAGATTGCAGGTGAGAGCCGCAAGTCAAGCCGATAGTGGAGTGTTCCCCTCGCTTTGTCCTGAAGCTTATTCTTTTGCAGAGGAGGACTTCTATGACAAGTTGGCAGCTTCTATAGCTCCGGAGATCTATGGGCATGAAGATGTAAAGAAAGCATTGTTGCTGCTCCTGGTGGGCGGAGTGGACCAGTCTCCTCAAGGCATGAAGATCAGGGGTAAGAAGGCTAATGACTTGGCTCCGTGGTCTTAGGAGAAATAGTGTGGGCTTTGAGAGTACAACGGGTCTAAAGTGCTCATCCCTGTTGGTAGACAATCTGGGTTGAGCATGCCACTTAGGCTTCCTTCCCGTCTTCCAGGAAACATTCACATCTGCCTTATGGGAGACCCTGGTGTGGCCAAATCTCAGCTCCTATCTTACATTGATCGTCTGGCCCCCCGAAGTGAGTATGGGCAGGGACAGAGCTCAGTGTTTGAAACCCTGAAGCCTTGAATGCCTGGGAAGTGGCTCCTTTGTTCAGCAGTGCGCTGTTTGCTTTTGCAGGCCAGTATACAACAGGCCGGGGCTCCTCTGGAGTGGGGCTCACAGCAGCTGTGCTGAGAGACTCTGTGAGTGGGGAGTTGACCTTAGAGGGCGGTGCCCTGGTGCTGGCTGACCAGGGTGTGTGCTGCATCGATGAGTTTGACAAAATGGCCGAAGCTGACCGCACAGCCATCCATGAGGTCATGGAGCAACAGACCATCTCCATCGCCAAAGCAGGGATTCTCACCACACTCAATGCCCGATGCTCCATCCTGGCTGCTGCCAACCCTGCCTATGGGCGATACAACCCCCGCCGCAGCTTGGAACAGAACATACAGCTTCCTGCTGCTCTGCTTTCCCGATTCGACCTTCTCTGGCTGATTCAGGACCGGCCTGACCGAGACAATGACCTCCGGTGAATAAAGTACAATACCAATAGAGACAGCTCCTTTTAGCACTTTGGGCACATCAAACTATTCCTTCTCCTCAGTTCCTAGGGGCGGGAAGGTTGGGGGCTGAGGATTTCCTGGGAGGCCTGTCTGCCATACTATGGCGAAAGGGGGCCAAGAAGGGGTCCTAAGTTAGACCCTCACGGTACGAGGCTCTTAAAGAGTTTGGCCTGTGTTCTCCCTAGGTTGGCACAGCACATCACCTATGTCCACCAGCACAGCCGGCAGCCCCCTGCCCAGTTTGAACCTTTGGACATGAAGCTTATGAGGTAGGGGTAGGGAGTGAACCCAGGTCTCATTTTGTTTCCTAGCCACATAATGCAAGGCATCATCAGTTTTTTTCTGGTTTGAGGTGATGGAGCAGCAGGCTATAATCCTAGCTGCTGTGGAAACAAGACCTTTAGAGATCTGTTGGGAATGTTGCCATAATTACCCCCTTCCCCATAGAAGAACCTTCCTCACCATCATCCTGTCCTAGTGGTGAGGCAAATACATCTTCCTTGACCATGTCTGCTACTGTGGCGTAGATATGACTCATTATCTCAGTCATCTTCAAGTCTCTAAATTCTTTTTACCTGGTCTTTCTCCTTTGTGATAAGTTCAGTGGGTTAGGGCGTCCCAGTACAGGTGGATTTGTGTTGCTCTTGCTGACAAGTTGGAAGTTACTTGAGCAATGGCAACCCGTTTTGAGAAGTGTGTCAGTGATGCCCAAGCAGCTGTCCACTTCCTGCATACAATATTAAGTAGGGAATCTATAAAGCATGCCTGTGTAATGCTTTCACACAAGCCTTGTTTCCCACAGACGGTACATAGCCATGTGCCGGGAGAGGCAGCCCACCGTGCCTGAATCTCTGGCTGACTACATCACAGCAGCGTATGTAGAGATGAGGCGAGAGGCCCGGGCCAGTAAGGATGCCACCTATACTTCTGCCCGGACCCTGTTGGCCATTCTCCGACTTGCTACTGCTCTGGTGAGTGCTGTGTCCCTGTCAGCTGGAAGGCTGACCCTTGCCTACCACCTCACCTTAGGCCCTCAGGCTGCCTCCTGGACTCCCTCCCACAGCCCTGCTGGGGCTAAAGTGCTGACAGTGCAGATAGTGGTCCTCTCTGTGCTACCGCACTGTGGGTACTTGCTGCTCCAGCAGGGCACACGACACCCGTGGAGGGAAAGGCTGCTGGCTACTTAAATCCAAGAGGGGCAGACGGACTTGTTGAATTCCTGTTGTCCTAGATATATGGTCTTAGAAATCTCCACTCTGTCCTTCCCTCTTGGACCTTAGTCCTGGGGGCTCCAAAGTGCTGTTCGTGCAGGTAGTGTAATCACCTGACTACTGCTGAGCCAGCACTTCCCGAGCCCCCAGGACACAGTCTCTGATGATGATGGCCCTAGCTGAGCTCCCCAGGCTCCATTTGTCAGGATGGGGAACTTAGTGGAGTTCAGAAGGGTGTGGTCCCTCTCACAGGACAGCTGAACACCTACCGGGACTGGCCAGTGTTGAGAGGCGGAGACTTGGGCAATTGCTGGAAGCTGCCCTGGGCATTGCACTTGTCTCGGTCTGACAGTGCCGGCCCAACACTGCAGATGTGGGGGGCAGGGAGGAGTCCCCACTTTTGTTGTCTAAGTAGCAGACATGGCTTGCCCAGCCTTGAAGCTGGAGCAGTGAAGATCTTGGACTTCACTCCTTCCCCTCTGGCCCCCATCTTTTCCCTGCCTCCCTTAGGCTCGCCTCCGCATGGTGGACACTGTGGAAAAGGAAGATGTGAACGAGGCCATAAGGCTGATGGAGATGTCGAAGGACTCCCTTCTGGGTGAAAAAGGACAAACAGCTAGGTGAGTGTCGCGATGAAGATGAAATTGGGGCACTTGACTTTATTGAGCTGGTTGTTAGCTTTGTGACTTCTGCACTCAAACATACAAGTTTGACCTTGGGATTGCTATTCTGTTTGCTTAGCCCTGCACACTGACAGCTGCCACCCATGTGTTTCAGGACCCAGAGGCCAGCAGATGTGATATTTGCCACAGTCCGTGAATTAGTCTCAGGGGGTCGAAGTGTCCGGTTTTCTGAGGCTGAGCAGCGCTGCATATCACGTGGTTTCACACCAGCCCAATTCCAAGCAGCTCTGGATGAATATGAGGAGCTGAATGTCTGGCAGGTCAATACTTCTCGGACACGGATCACTTTTGTCTGATGACCAGCTTTTGAGGTTCGCCGTTTTGTCTGATGACCAGCTTTTAAGGCCCTGCTGTGCACCCCCAGAGCATTCGCTGGATGCCCCGAAAAGCAGATCCCATTTTCCCATCCATGCTGCACTTTTTGTTTGTTAATAAAATGTTTTGACTTTGGGCTTGGCTTCTGTTAAAATGGCATTGGGGAATGGACAGACATCATAATTCCAGTAGAAATTTCTATTTGACTTTGCCACATGTAAGTGACTGGGGTGTGGCAAGGACTTGATGGAGCCTTCTCCCCTGGTACGTGAGCCTTACCATGGTAGTGCCAGGGTGAGGGCCAAAGTCTCCGGCCCACTCATTTCTTGAAATACTTCCACTGTGTGTTCACCTCTTGGGAGGGAGGTGAAGATGGTGTAAAAAGTAGCACCCACCAGAAAGGACTTCAGCGGAGGGTTCACAGGTGGGCTGAAGTGGAGACCAAGTGGTACTTTGCAGCATTCATGGGAACAAGGGTTTGAGTTATCCATAACAAGGATGGGCTTGGTATCCCTCCCCATCATAGATTGGGGAAGCAGACATTTGTCACTTCTGTGGGTAGGCCTACGTGAACTGACATCACAGAACTACAAGCAAACAGGCAGTCCTACCACATTCTGCCTATCTAGACAAGTGTCGCACACCTCAAGTCTAAAACTTAAAAGGAGCACTGATGAATGGACTCTGCCTCTGAGCAGGGCTGCTTTGGGCTCCAAGTTGGAGAAGCCAGTGTGGGGCCTGTTAGGACAAAGCACTGAAGGGCTGCTAAGGGGCTGCTCTTTTATTAATGACAGTTTCTCTAAGGGGAATGCAGCGCCCAGACCAATGACAGTTGTCTGAGCCCTGTACATCATCCCTTCTAGAACCCTCATCAGAAAAACAGTCCCCGCATTCGCCTGCCGATGCCTTGTCGGTCATAGAGGACGTTGAACTTGTTCACAAACTGGTTCATCGTGTTGCACGTTTTGGTGATGGTGCCGAGGTAGGCCATGAGCCCCACGTCATTGCATTGCTGGGAAGAAGAAAAAGAACCAGTTCCCCAGGGATCTCTCACATTAGGGCCAAGGACAACTGAAGCTGGTGTGATAGTGTGAGGCCACCTCCCCAACAGGGGTATTAACACTCACATCATAAAAGTCTGTCTTGAACTTGTCTGTGCTGAGAACCGGAAGACAGTGGCACAGGGCGTAGGCCTCTCGCAGGATCTCATGGTTGAAGGGGACCTCTCCTAAGGGTACAATGAGGCTGCACTGATGTGGATGCTGTCACTTCTCCAGGAGGGAGAAAAAGTGGTTACAAGTGACAGGCACCTGTCCTACCTGCTTCAGAAGCCTTGACATACTCTAAGATGAGCTTCACGCGGCTATGCAGCATCTTGATGGCACTGTGCTGAGCGATGAGGTGTTCAGCCACTGCAGGGGATGCGGCATGAAGGCCGGTATGTGACCACAGCCACCCCACACTCACCTCCAAAGAAGAGTTCACCTCCCTTACCAGTGGAGTTCTCCCCACTGCCTGTCGCTGTCATCCGTGCCACATGGTCTACACCGATACGTTCAGCTTCCTCCGTGGCCAGAGTGTACGTGAGCTCAGCAAACAGCATTGTGGCCTGCCGAGCGAAGGATTCCCACGAGGGGCGTCAGAATCGGGAAACGGGCAGAAGGCTTGTGGGGAGAGCACTTGCTCAACTCTGAGGATCTGACTTTAGGTCCTCAGAACCCACAGTAAGCTAGATGTGGTAGAATGCGGGTACACCCAGCTCTCCTACAGGACAAGAAGTGGGACACAATCCCCAGAAGGTCCCAGGCCAACCGGCCTGACCACAAGAGGTCCCGTCTCAAACAAGGTAGAAAGCTAGGATGGACATCCAGGGTTGTCCTGTGACTACACACGTGCACGGCATGCACGAAGCAGGCTAAAAGCAGGATTGAAGGTTGCAGGGTAGGTATTACCTCTCCATTGATTATATCGATGACAGACTCAAAAACGCTGACAGGAAGCTGTAAGACAGATGGAGACAACTCTTACTGAGAGCAAATGCACTTGAACTTATGCACGTGCCAGGCGGGCCTCAAACTCACAACCCTGCCCTCAACCTTCTGAGTGCTAAAACTGATGACAAGTGTGTCCCCACACTTGGCTCACCTTTTCTAATTTTCCCAAAAACATACCCACCTTACATACAAAAGTGCCACTTAAAGAGATGACATCGTACAAGTGATGGGTAAATAGCAGCATGGTGGATATTTAACTGAAGCATTCTCTAACGCAGATGATGTCACAGAGTGAATTATAGCAGATCATAAGGATCAAAAGCAGGCATAGTGCTAGATGGGGACCAAGGTCAGCAATACTCACATCTGTGTGCTTGGTCATGGGATTCAACTTCAGAAAGAGGGGACTCTCAATTATCTCGCATACCTAAAAAGAAAGAGAAGGCCCAGAAAAAGTCGACCTTTCTTCCTCTGACCTTGTGCTCTCTTCCCCACCATGGACACACTTGAGCCCGCGTACCTGCTTGTGGACGTGGATGTCGGAGGGGTCAGGCGGCCCCCCTGTGGTATACCAACCCAGAAACTCCAGCTCCTTGAACACCTGTTTAACTGGAGAAGGGGCAGAGGAAACGATCTTTCTTTAAACCTCTCTTCCTTAAGTTTCATGGGCCTGGCCGATCTTTTTTCCTAGCCAGCTCTTCCCTCCCTCCTCAGATTCTGGCTCAGTTTGGAGTAGCTACATCTTTCTATTCTGACATCGCTCATCCTTTACTTGCCGAAGATGACCTTCTACTTCTGATCTCCTGTCTCCACCTCCTGGTTTATATGAGGACTTAACTCTGGGCTTCCTGCATGTTAGGGCAAGCACTATACCCACTGTCCTACACCCCCAGCACTCTTATCTTAAACTTGATCTTGGCCAAAAGGACGAGAATCGATGCACTTTTATCCTATAAACCAGCCCAACCCAACCCCCGCTCCCCCAAGTCCTCCCACGGCACTCCGCGTCCCCCACCCACTTCTAGTCCCCTCTCACACTGCTCCTCCTTGGTGTAATAGTACTCCTTGTCAATGATAATCTTCTCCTCCACGGTGTGGGACAGCAGCTCAAAGGAGTTCATCACTTCGATGTTCCGCCCCTCCTGCTTCCCGATCAAAGCCCCGATCACTGAGGGGAGAGAAGCGCACCAAAGATAGGTGAGGAGCGGGCATCCGAAAGCCCCTCCCTCCTAACACCCCCGGCTCGGAGGTCAGGGTGGATCAAAGCCGGCGGAGGCTAACCAGGGAGGGGTGGGAGGCAGGGAAACGCGACTGGAGGCGGTCTCCAGAGGAGGGCTCGAGACGCACCCGCGACACTCACCCTGCATAGGCCGCCCCTCCTGGGAGCGCATGCGGATCCAGTGGTCGGAGATGTTGAGGATGACGAGGGGGTGAAGAGCGACGGAAACACTGCCCGTCACCCCGGAGGCCATCACGCTGGGGACTGTTAAAGGCGGAAGGAAAACACAGCGGGTGAAAGCTCGGGCCCACACATTCTCCCCTGGACACGGGAGCCGGGGACCCGCAGAGCCGGGCCCCCGTCCATCCCTGCCCGCAGGTTATCCCGGGAGAGATGTCGCTTCTCCCGGGTTTAAGAAGTACTCAGGAGACTCCGCGAGGGCGACGCCAGAAGTCGCTCCGCACAGCCCGTTACCTGCTGCATCCACCTCCATGCCGCTGCTGCCTCCGCTCCCGTTCGCAGCCGCCGCTGCCGCCATTTTCCCCGCGCCCGCCAGCCACGGCCCGCCCCCTTCCTTCCCGGCTTCCGTCGGCGAGCGGCGCGTGCTCAGTCTGTGCTTGGCGCGGCTGGAAGGCGGGGCGTCTTGCCAGTACTTGGCAGTCCTGGATGTCCGAGAGAGCGCGCGTGGGTTGTGTATCTGAGGGTGACTTCGCGCTTTGATCCTCCTGCCGTCACCTCCCAGGTGCTGTGGTTACAGGTGTGCACCAACCAGCCCTGGCATCTTATGCTCAAAGCACAGAGATTCTTGATCGCTAGGCCTTGGGTTAGCCAGAAGTCACTGGAGAGGAGGGCTGTTAATTTCCAGGGCTCAGTGGGTGCATTGTACGTACTGGAGACAGAGAAAATTGCAACCAAAGGAAAACAAGGCTGTGAGCAGGATATGGAACGCAGTTTATTCAAGATATTAAACTTTCTCGTGTTGCACATAATCTGTATGCAGGGATTTGGTCACTCGCTTGATTGTTGAGCTAGAACCTCACGGTGTGGCCCAGCTGGCTGGGAACTGGCTCTTAGAGCAGGCTGCCTTCAGACTCACAGAGATCCGCCTGCCTCTGCTTCCTGGGTGCTACGATTAAAGGCGTGTGTGCACCACCGCCTAGCTTTTGTGTGTGTGGCCGGGGGATTCAAACTCAGGTCCCAACAGGTTACTCATTGAGTTACCGCCTCAGCTGTGACTGCTATTAAACGGTCTAGCCGATTCAGTGGCAGAGCAACCTGACTCCTTACACAACTTTGTAACTGCTCCTGGGAGGATTTGGGGCACCCAGTGGGATGGGTGCCAGGTGAATCTGAGGCCACACTGGTGTGGGTATCTGCTGCTTACTGGCATAGCCTCTTCAGTAATTGTCTTAGGATCCCTATTGCTGTGAAGAGACACCATCACCATGGCGAATCTTTTTTTTTTTTTTTTTTTGGATTTTTGAGACAGAGTTTCTCTGTATTGTTTTGGAGCCTGTCCTGGAACTCACTCTGTAGACCAGGCTTGGTCTCAAACTCATAGAGATCCACCTGCCTCTGCCTCCCGAGTGCTGGGATTAAAGGCGTGCGCCACCAACTCACTATGGCGAATCTTATAAGGAGAACATTTAATTGAGGGGGGCTCACTCACAGTTTCAGAGGCTCAGTCCATTGTCATCACGGCAGGGAACACGGCGGTGTGCAGGCAGATGTGATAATGAAGTAGCTGAGAGTCCTCCACCTTGCAGGCAACAGGAAGTGGACTGACAGTCACACCGAGGGAAGCTTGAGCAAAAGAGACCTCAAAGCCTGCCCACCCGCCCACTGGCCCAGTGACACACTTCCCCCAACAAGGCTACACTTTCTAATAGTGCCACTCCCTTTGGGAACCATTTTCTTTCAAACCACAATAGTGATCAGGCAACCTCATAGAAGCCCCCAGCACCTTTCCACAGTCAAGCAGTCGTGCAGAGGACTCTAGCCATCAAGCTGCCTCGGCAAACCTCGTAAGAGAAGCCTTTATCATGTGCGAGTGTACCCACAGGGAAGGTGGACTGTTGTGGTGCTTGAATAAGAATGACCCCCAATAGGCTGGAGACGTGGCTCAGAAGTTAAGAGCACTGGCTGTTCTTCCTGAGATCCTGGGTTCAATTCCCAGCACCCACATGGCACCTCACAACTGTGTGTAATGGGAGTTCCAGGAGACCTGACGCCCTCACATAGGCATACATGCAGGTAAAACGCCAATGCACATAGAAGTAAATCTTTTTTTTTAATGCCCCCCACCGACTCATATATTTGAATACCTAGTCACCAGGGAGTGGCACCATTGAAAAAGATTAGAAGGATTAGGAGGTGTGGCTTTAAAGGCAGAACTGTGTCACTGGGGTTGGGCTTTGGGGTTTCAAAAGCCCATGCCAAGCCCAGTCTCTCTCTTTCTCTCAGCCTAGGGATCAGGATGTAGCTCTCAGCTACTGCTCTAGTGCCTGCTGCTGCTACTCTCCCAGCCATGGTGATAATGGATCGACCTCTAAAACTATAAGCAAGACCTCAACTAAATGCTTCCTTTTCATAAGCGTTGCCTTGGTCATGGTGTCTCTCCACAGCTATAGAACGGTGACTAAGACAAGTGTGTTTCCTAGTTGGATCAGAAAGTGAGGCTAAGCCACCTGCTCACATAGCCAATCAAGAGTATCTGGCCCACAGTGCAGGCATTTGCTTACCAGGCACGGCCACTGAGGTGCGTGTCTTGACCAGTCATGGCCTTGCTCCAGTTCACAGCAGGGCTTCCGCTAGGGGAAGGGCTCCCTGTCTGTCGAGGTGGAAACGACTGACTGCAGGTTCATACACAGCCCTGTGGGGCCTTTGGCAGCAGAATATCTGGTAGCCACTGTGTGGTACACAGGTGGCACCGAGTCCTCAGAAGCTTGGGGAATCATCTGCAATCTTACGTAAGTGCCCCGGTGTTGGGGAAGTCTTGTGCATTTGTCAATAAAGCACTGTCTGGCCAATAGGGAATCTAGATAGGAGGGACTAGGAATCCAGAAGGACTCTGGGTAGGAGAAACACAAGGAGAGTTCGAGATGTAACGCCATGGGGTAGGAGGCCTGGAAACTTCTCCGGTAAGAGACATACATAGATTAACAATTATGGGGTAATTACTTAAGTCAGAGCTAGCCAGTAAGAAACAAGCAAGGCCAACAGCTTCATAACTAATATAGCCTCCTGTGTGTTTATTTGGGACTAACGCGGCTCTAGAACCAGGCTGGCGGGAAGGTTCCTCTCAAAGAAAAAGCTTCTCTTAACACCCCAGGCCTCTGTTGAGTGCTCCAGATAGCTGACAGAAGGTCAGTTTGGCTAACTGCGAGACAGAAGTGCCTTTGGTCAGGGCAACCTGGGCAGTAAGGGGAAAGAGTTCAACAGACGCTAGTTAGGGACTTAAATTGCCCCATTCCCAGTGGCTTTGGTTACTTACAGGAAAATAAACATTGGGGGGTTTTTATGCTATAAACTTAGAGAGGTTACCATTAGAAGAAAAACAAGACAAGTAAATGTCAACAGTAACAGCAATTTAACACTGTTTTTAAAATGCCTAACATTTGTCTAGGGCCCAAGGAGAACTAGGTGTCCTTCATCAGTCTCAGAATGAATTTTGAGATGTAAGTAACACGTAGGAGATCAATTTTATTTCCTTTATTTTGAATGTGTGTGTGATTGCGCACATGTGCACACGTTTGCACACTCATGCCGTCAACCCAAAAGCTAAGAATATCATCAGACAGCATGTGAGTCCTGTAGAAAAGTTTGCTACATAGACGGTGGGTTGCCGCACGCCTTTAATCCCAGCACTCGGGAGGCAGAGGCAGGAGGATCTCTGTGAGTTCAAGGCCAGCCTGGTCTACAGATCAAGTTCCAGTACAGCCAGGCCTGTTACACAGAGAAACCCTGTCTGAAAAAACAAATAAAAATAAATAAATGTTTAAAACACAGTTGAGCTAACCCTTCAGCCCATGACGCACATAGTTTCTTGCGTTTGTTCCACGTGGAGGTTTGGGAGATGGTGTTGGCTGGTCCCTACCCACTGTACCTTCTCCCCAGACACCTGAACTCCCAGGGCCTTCCAGCTCGTCGTCCCTTCCCGACCCGGCCAGCCGTCTGGAGCCCTTGTCTGTGTGCGCACCAGTCAGTCGGGACCATCGGAGACGAAGACCTCCCATTTGCCTAGAGAGAGCGAATGGGCGTCCGGCTCCCGGGGGTTGGGGTTGTCGTGGGTGGTGAAGGAGGACGACCCGGAAACGAAATGGGGAGGGGCGACTTCCGTTCTTTGTTCTGGTCTCGGTTGTGTGGGTCTGTGACAGGGTCCACCGGGGCCCGGCTCGTGTCCGGCCCCCTAAGTCTCACGTCCCTGTCCCCGGGGTGAGTGGGGCCGTCTTCGGGACTCGCGGTGAGGCGCCAGCGCGGTCCCCGGGGGAAGGGGGGTTGGTGCTCACGCCTCTGCGGGACCCCGGTTCCGCCCTGCCCTCCCCCCCGCCCCCGAGTTCGCGCCCCCCGCGCCGGGCAGAGGTCCCGCTCTCCCAGCAGCTGGTGGCGGCCAGCCGTCCTGACTGGGTACCCGGAGGCACCGCTGCTCGTTCTGGGGGCAGGAGAAGGGTCGGAGGATGAGAGCCAGAGCTGGGGAGGAGGTGCGCGCGCGCGGGTCCTGCGGGCTCCTCGCCCACACCGCCTGCTCCGTGGGGTGCCGTGGGAAGACGTGCGCGATGGCGCTCGGCGGGCTTCCCGGCGTGTGTCCCCTTCCCCACCGTGCCTCGTCAGCATCTGTGTTAGGAACAAACTTCACGACTCCGTTTTGCCCCCGTAAGCGTGCAGCAGTGGTTCTCACCCCGACGCTGCGACCCGTTAGTACAGTTCCTCGTGGTGTGGTTGGTGACCCCCCCCCCCCCCCAGCCATGCGGTCATTTTTGTTGCTGGTTCATGACTCTAATTTTGCTACTGTTGTGAATCGGAAATATCAGTGTTTTTGATGGTCTTTGGTGACCCCCATGAAAGGGTCATCCAACACCCCCTAACTCCCTCATTCCCCCAACCCCATTGAGAAAAGCTGACCTAAAATGAATTTCCAGGAATTAGCCAGGCTTACTGGGTTACTCCTCTAACCCCAGAACAGATGTAAATGAAGCAGAAGTCTGAATATAATTTCGAGGCTAGCCTGAGTGAATTCCAGGCTAGTCTGGGGTATACCATGAGGTCTTACCCAATAAAAAAAGCCAAAAAATAAATAACATCCCAGGAACTGAACAAAAGGTGCCAAATTTCTTACTTTGCTACTTTACTCTTACAGGGATTAATTCCACAGAAGGAAGAAAGGATCCAGGAAGGGAGGCTTACCTGTCCTCATTGTCACGTGGTCTTTCTTGGTCCCCTAAGCAGCTTTTTTTTTTTATAGGCATTGGTGCGTAAGCCATGGATGTCAGGTCCCCTGGAAATGGAAATACAGAGGGTTGTGAGCTGCCATGTGTATGTGCTGGGAATTGAACCCAGGTCCTCTGAAAGAGCAGTCAGTGCTCCTAACCACTGAGCCATCTCTCCAGCCCCTATGCACAGTTTCTATGAGAAACATTGTTTACTGACTCACACTGGGGACCCAAGATGATGTCCCCCCCTTTTTTTTTCTTCGAGACAGGGTTTCTCTGTGGCTTTGGAGGCTGTCCTGGAACTCGCTCTGTAGACCAGGTTAGCCTCTGACTCACAGAGATCCACCTGCCTCCCGAGTGCTTGGATTAAAGGTGTGTGCCATTACTGCCCAGCAAAATAAGGTTTCTTGTAGCACAGGTTGGCCTTGAGCTCCCAATGCTCCCCCATCTCTCCAGTGCTGGTATTACAGGTGTATGCAGCATACACGGCTCAGGTCAGATATCTCATTCTGGTGAATGATAACCACCTCATTGCTACACTTGTCACTCAGATGTTGGGTAGATGGGGGAAAGTTTGGAAATTTGGATCCCGTGTGTGGTCTTATTATGGAAGTGTTCATATTCACAGGGATCTAAAAGAGTGTCCTGTGTGTTTCTTTTCACCATTCCTGTGTACTGAGATGTGATTCCCTTTCTGAAACCAAGAGGCTTTTTTTTTTTTTTTTTTTTGGTTTTTCGAGACAGGGTTTCTCTGTGGCTTTGGAGGCTGTCCTGGAACTCACTTTGTAGACCAGGCTGGCCTCGAGCACACAGAGATCTGCCTGCCTCTGCCTCCCGAGTGCTGGGATTAAAGGCGTGTGCCACCAACGCCCGGCCTCCAAGAGGCTTTTTTTAAGGTTTATTTATTATATACACAGTCTTATGCCTGCATGACAGAAGAGGGCACCAGATCTCATTACAGAATGTCGTGAGCCACCATGTGGTTGCTGGGAGTTGAACTTGGAACCTCTGGAAGAGCAGCCACAGCTTTTAACCTCTGAGCCATCTTTCCAGCCCCTTAGGAGGCACTGTAAAGTCAACTTTGATCTCTTTGTCTCTGCAGTGCTCCTTCAAAATCTACTTCCCGCTGAGTCTACAGCCTGGAGACCAGAGCCCAGACCTGTCTACTGTAACCATGGAAACTCAGGCTGACCTTGCCTCTCAGGAACCCCCGCCCCTGCTAGAGAGTGGTGAGATATGGGGTTGGGAGAGGTGGTTGTTCGCATCTTTTTCTGTTGTTTACTTGTGTTTTGTTTCCCTTTGAGACAGGGCCTCACTTTGTTGCCATGGCTGATCAGAAACTTACTATACAGGTTGATCTGAACCTCACAGAGATCCACCTGCCTGTATATCCTGAGTGCTGGGATTAAAGGTGTGGGCCAGCACACTCGGTATGCTTGCTTGTCTTTTGAGACAGGGTCTCATTGCATAGCCCAGGCTGGCCTTGAATTTTCTAGATTCTTGACTTGAGTCTGGAGTGTCGGGTTTAAACAAATGGCTGTCATCATGCCCTGCCTAGTTCTTGTGTGTGTGTGTCTGTGTCTGTGTCTCTGTGTGTGTGTGTCTGTGTCTCTGTGTGTGTGTGTGTGTGTCTGTGTCTCTGTGTGTGTGTGTGTGTGTCTGTGTCTGTGTGTGTGTGTGTGTGTCTGTGTCTCTGTGTGTCTGTGTCTGCGTGTGTGTGTGTGTGTGTGTGTGTGTGTGTGTGTGTGTGTGTGTGTGTGTGTTGAGACGGTTTCACTGTGCAGAACAGGCTACCCTGGAACTTCCAGAGATCTACCTGCTCTGTCCCCAGGGTACTGGGATTAAAGGTGTGTGGCACCACATCCAAACCAAAATGAACTTTTAGTAAATTTATTTTTAAAAAAAATTGTGCCGGGCCTTGGTGGCACACGCCTTTAATCCCAGCACTTGGGAGGCAGAGGCAGGTGGATCTCTGTGTGTTCGAGGCCAGCCTGGTCTATTGAGCGAGTTCCAGGACAGCCTCCAAAGCCACAGAGAAACCCTGTCTCGAAAAACCAAAAAAAAAAATTGTTTTGTGTGTTATGTGTATAGACTTGTATGCCACAATGCACCAAAGTTTAGGGGTCAAAGGGCAACCTCTGGAGTTGGTTCTCTCCTTCCACCATGTGAGTTGGGGGTGGGCATCAAACTCAGGCTTTGTCGCAAGTGCCTTTGCCCACTGAGCCATCTTACCTGCCCCGAACTTACTGTTTGAAATGTTTTGTATTATCATGTAGTAATTATATATGATACTGGGTTTTGTTACATTTTTCAGACTGTTTTTTAAACATAAGGAATTGTGTGCTTGGAGAGATGGCTCAGTGGACATGAGATGGCATGAGGACATGAGTTTAAATCCCAGAACCCACATTAAACAGATGTATAGTGAGAACGCCTGTATCCCAGCATTCCTATGGGGAGATGAGAGCTAGAGACAGGAGAATCCCCAGAAGCTCGCAGGGCAGCTGGCATGGCAGACATGGCAGGAAAACAGTGAGGACGCCAGGCTCAAACAAGGTGGGGCAGGGACTGGAGATGTGCTCTGACCTGCACGTGTGCCCACGCTCACACAGACGCTCCTACACGTAAATCCCCAGACATTACAGAGTTGTTGGAGTCTAGCAATGGTGGTGCACGTCTTTAGTCCCAGCACTCGGGAGGCGGAGGCAGGTGGATCTCTGAGTTCTAGGCCAGCCTGGTCTACAGAGCTACACAGAGAAACCCTGTCTCAAAACTCCCCAAAAAAGTTGTGTGGAGAGAGACTTACAGGGTACTTACTGGGTATGGAACCCAGGGCCATACATTTGCTAGGTAAGCACTTAGCACTGAGCTAACAGCTGCAGGGGTCAGCCTCAATGGCTATTGTTCCCATGCTTACTAGGAGAAAACATTTAGAATCCATTTTGTCAAATCTGGTTATGTGTAGTGGATTAGACCTGAGAGACAAATACAAAACTTATGGCTGCTGGGGAAGGTATGTGGTCAAGTGCCGAGCTAGGAAATATTTCTATCGTATAGATAGAGATTTGGTCTTCGAATGGGTGTTGCGTTTTCTGTCAGGGCTTGAGGGCAGCTGCTCATTTTCCTCTGCCTAAAACCTGCTTGGAGAGTTTGCAGTAATGGAGGAAAGTGAGAGCGTGCCTGGTGCCCGGCCTGCTTGAAGGACAGGCGTGGATAGTCAGAGGGGCTGCTGCTGCAGGTCCGTGGTAGAGCTCCTGCTTCGCAGGCACAGATGCGACCTTGATCCCTTGCACCGCCGAGAGAACAAGATATGCCTTCATGAAAGCAGAGGCTGGGTGGTTTGAGGCATGTGACCTTGGGTTAGAAAGCAGGCGGATTGATTCCTGACCCTGGTGTTGTCCTCCAGCTCTTTCCTCTTCAAAGGTCCCTTCCTTTCCTGACAAAGACAGTCTGGGGCACGGGATGTTGGCTGCTGCACTTCTAAAGGCCAAGTCCCAGGTAAGCAATGGTTCCCTTTATTCTTTCCCTTCCGGTTTGTGAATAGATTTTTTAGAGTGATGTATCATTTAGTGCCCTAAACTCTAGTTCTGTACATCAAAGCCATGGTTCTGGAGCCAGTGAGATGACTCAGTAGGTAAAGGTATTTCTGCTAGCTGGGCAGTAATGGCCTATGCCTTTAATCCCAGCACTCAGGAGGCAGAGGCAGGTGGATCTCTGAGTTCAAGGCCAGCCTGGTCTATAGAGCAAGTTCTAGGACAACCAGAGCTACACAGAGAAACCCTGTCTCAAAAAACCAACCAACAAACAAAAAATGGTGTTTGCTGCCAACTGGGTTCAATCCCTGGGATCTGCATGTTAGAAGGAGAGAGCTGACTATCACAGATTGTCCTCTGACCTCCACATGTGTGCAGTGGTACCCCTCCCCTGGCCCTGCTCTGACCTCTGCCCTCACCCCAAGGAAGCGGTGCTCAGCCCCATCCTGCCTGCTGTTTGCTGCTGCCTGTCTTGACCCTCGCCCTGAAATTCCATGTGTGCTCATGTGGCCGTTTCAGGAGCTGGTGACATTTGAGGACGTGGCAGTGTACTTCATCTGGAAGGAGTGGAAGCGTCTGGAGCCTGCGCAGAGGGACCTCTGCAGGGGTGTGATGCTGGAGAACTATGGGAACGTGCTCTCCCTGGGTACGGACTTGTACCGCCTCAACACAGCACGCTGTGTTCTCTAGGCTTCAGGCTTTGCTAGCGGCAGTGGAGTCTTGGAGAACGTTAATAATGGTGCCGGAGAGATGGTACTTTCTGCTCTTGCAGAAGACCCGAGTTCAGTTCCCATTACTCTTGTGGATGCTCTCAATTGTAACACCATTTCAGGGGATCTGAAGCAGTCTTCTGGCCCCTGACACACTCATGGTGTACACATGTATGCAGACAGTCATGCCCATTAAAAATAAATAAGTTTTAAAAAGAAAACTAAGGGGCTGGAGAGACGGCTCAGAGGTTAAGAGCACTGACTGCTCTTCCAGAGGTCCTGAGTTCAATTCCCAGCAACCACATGGTGGCTCACAACCATCTACAATTCAATCTGGTATATATGTAATAAATAAACAAATCTTTAAAAAAAAAAACTAATAACAGTGAGGATGATAACTCACATTTCCTTGCATTTAACCTCACAGTAACTCCATGGTTGAGTTGATTAGTGTTACCCTCATCTTATAGGTGAGTAACCTGAGGTCTAGAAGGGCAAAACCAGGCCTGGAGAGGTGGCTCAGTGGTTAGGAACGCTGACTGTTCTTCCCGAGGTTCTGGGTTCTGTTCCCCACACCCACATGCCAGCTCCCAGCCTTCTGTAGTCCTAGGAATCGGATGCCCTTCTCTAGTGTCCACAGACAGCAGGCATGTTTGTGGTAACACATACATACATGCAGGCAAAACACTATGGAAAACAAACAGAACGACCCTTAGAAGCCACTTGGGCATGGTGGCATATACCTGTGATCTCAGCACTTGGGAAGTAGAGGCAGGTGGACCAGCTGTTATATGCTCACTGCATAATGGGTTTGAGACCACTGTGGACTCTGCTTGAGACCCTGCCTCAAACAAACAAGCAAGTGGACACTTTTAGCATGGTAATAGAATTTGTAAATGACAAAGCTTGAGCTCCAGTGGTTTTTGTTTTGGTTTGGATTTTTGGTTGTTGTTATTGTTGTTATTTATGTCTTTGGATCTATCCATCCATCCGTCTGTCCGTCCATCCATCCAGGGTTTCACACTGCAGCCCAGGCTGGCCTGGGCCTCATTAAGTAATCCTTGCCCTTCAGCTTCTTTGATGCTGGGGAATGGGTGTGAGCCACCTCATCTGGCTGAGCCCCCTGTGGACACCACACCTGCTGCTTTAGCTGTCTGTTTTCAGAACTTAGTATGTCACTCAGAGACTTTTCCGAAGGGTTAGTATTTTGGGATTCCTGAACATGGAAGGTGGTGCTCTGTGTCTGAATGAACATTCTAGAGCTCTGCATTCTTCCTTTTTCTGTTGGATTACTCCAAGGACCTACTGTTTTGTTCAGGAACTTATGTGCCTCTTCTAGAAACGTGTTGTTTTGGAGTTGGAGAGAGGCTCAGGAGTTAAGAGCATTGCTGCTCTCTCTGAGGACCACAGTTTACCTCCTACCAGCCACTGCACAGGACTCCAAAGCTACTGCTAACTCCGATTTGGGGGAGGGGCTGATGCCCTCTTCTGGCCTCCAGAAACACCCACATACATGTGGGGCCATGCGTGCGTGCGTGTGCTTTTAAAAAGAGTGTATTGCTGGTATACACCTTTAATTTCCAGCATTTGGGGGGTAGAAGCTGGTAGAGCTCTGTGAGTTCAAGGCCAGCTGGGTCTACATAGTGAGTTCCAGAACAGCCAGCCAGAGCTACAAAATAAATAAATAAAATCTAATACTTGTTTTAAGTAGAAATTACCTTTGTGATGCTTAGGGTTAGTTAGTTGTCTCTTACCTCACTTTCAGTGAGGACATTTTTCCAAACAGCACCATGGCATCGTCCTACCTGACATCTGAGATGTCCAAATACATTTCCTCCCATTCCCTGTAGACCTGGTCGAGGTTTGTGCACTCAGTATGACCATGCCTTTCCCTATGAGCAGGTGCCTCTGAGTCCTGCTACAGTCTCTTGGCTGGAATGAGAATTAAGGGGATATGAGAAGAGAGAAGGCTTGAAAGGGGTCTGCCCGAATGAGTTCTTGCCCTATCTACTTTAAAAAATACTGACAAACTAAAATTACTACCTGGACTCAGTAGAATCATCCTCCATGCCTAGAGTTCCCTGTAGGAACTCTGTAAGTAGTGAAAACAAGAAGCCAGACATGGAGATTTTTATTTAGTCTGCTATACAACATTGCCTTCCTGGTTAAGGCCCAAAGCTGGGCTAAACTATTTTGTCTTTGCTGGTGGCATGCATGGTTGGACTACAGACAGGTTGGTTCTCACCGGGGGTTTCTTAGTGTCTGTCCTCTGCTCCTTCTTGTCCTACTGCTGGTTTTTATCCTTCCCTGCCTTTCTCTTCAGCTGTCTGTTAGGTTCCTTATGTAGTTGCTCCACCTATCAGGCTTCCCCTGTTTTGGACTGCATCTCCCTCAAACTCATGATCTCCCTGCTTCAGCCTACTGTGTACTCCAATTAATAGACACGTCACCCCTTCCAGCCTCCTGCCATTTTTTTTTTTTTTTTTTTTTTTTTTTGGTTTTTCGAGACAGGGTTTCTCTGTGGCTTTGGAGGCTGTCCTGGAACTAACTCTTGTTGACCAGGCTGGCCTCGAACTCACAGAGATCCGCCTGCCTCTGCCTCCCAAGTGCTGGGATTAAAGGTGTGCGCCACCAACGCCCAGCTTGCCTCCTGCCATTCTTAAAACTTGTTACTTCACCCCTCATCCTTCTCCTTTATCCCATCTTCCCAGTCGCATCTACCGCCTCTGACTCGTCTGAAAGCCTTGGTGCTTCATGAGTAACAAGTCTTTCTTACCTAGGCCTGTTTTGTTTACTTTATTCTTTTATGTGTATGAATGTTTTGCTTGCGTGTGTGTATACATCACATGTGTTCCTGGTGCCTCTGAAGGTCAGAGGAGAGCACTGATCTCCTGGAACTGCAGTTACAGACAGTTGTGAGTCTCCATGTGGCACGGGAATCAAACTCATGTCCTCTACAAGGGTGATCAACTGCTCTTAACCTCTGAGCCAACTCCTCAGAGTCCCTTACCTAGTTTTTGTTCTCAACAAAGTAGGCCATCTCCTCTCGTCCCCAGCACATCCTTGACTTCCCCAAGGTTCCCATCTTTTCTCCCTGGCTTTGCTTTCTCCCTTGTTCCTTCTGTTTCTTTAGCCCATTTGTCTTATTTTGCTCTGGTTCTACCTACAAGTTGGAAGGTCTCTCTTCTGGCCAGCAAAGGGACATGTGCTTTTGGCACTGTAACTGTCAGACATGTGATTATCTTGTCCTCTGACTTTTATTCTTTCTCTCACAAATACATATGAATCACTTGATTTTGTTTTGTTTTTTTGTATTGTGCTAGATGGTGAATCCAAAACTGGAAATGACCAAGTAATCTCTGAAGGCATGGGGTCACATGAGATGGTGCTGGGCCGATTCCACACGGATGCTTCTCAGGGTGGTAGGTTTGGAGAAGCCTATGAGCAAGAAGTCAGTCTGAAGAGACAGCATGGGAACTCCTCTGTTGGAAGACTGAATAGGAAAATACAGGGGTTTCACCAAGTGAGAGTTGAGGAAAAGCTCACCCATATGGGACAAAGAAATGAGAAGTGCAACGAGTTTGGGGACAGCTTCACTGTGAACTCCAACCTTATTTCACATCAGAGATTTCCCGTGGGACGCAGACCACACAAGTGTGATGAATGTAGCAGGAGTTTTAATCGAACTTCAGACCTTATTCAGCATCAGAGAGTTCACACCGGCGAGAAACCGTATGAGTGTAACGAGTGTGGGAAGGCCTTCAGTCAGAGTGCACACCTCATTCAGCACCAGAGAATCCACACTGGAGAGAAGCCCTACGAATGTAAGGACTGTGGGAAGACCTTCAGCTGTAGCTCTGCTCTCATTCTGCACCAGAGAATCCACACTGGGGAGAAGCCCTACGAGTGCGGTGAGTGCGGGAAGACATTCAGTTGGAGCTCCACTCTTACTCACCATCAGAGAATCCACACTGGAGAGAAGCCCTATGCTTGCAATGAATGTGGGAAGGCTTTCAGTAGGAGTTCAACCCTTATTCATCACCAGAGAATCCACACTGGAGAGAAGCCCTATGAATGTAACGAGTGTGGGAAGGCCTTCAGCCAGAGCTCACACCTCTATCAGCACCAGAGAATCCACACTGGAGAGAAGCCCTACGAATGTATGGAATGTGGAGGGAAGTTTACCTACAGCTCAGGCCTTATTCAGCACCAGAGAATCCACACAGGGGAGAATCCCTATGAATGTAGTGAGTGTGGGAAAGCCTTCAGGTACAGCTCAGCTCTTGTTCGCCATCAGAGGATTCACACTGGAGAGAAGCCTTTGAATGTAATGGGTGTAGGCAGAGACTCTCTCAGAGTTTCTCCTGAATTAAACATCAGAGAATCCACATGAGAGAGCCATACACTATTTTCCTCATCTCTGAGTCTAAAGAGCTCTTGCCTTACTTTGTCAATAGGGCCAATTTAGGGTGTGTCCCACCTCCAGCCATTCACTCAGAGAGTGGGGCAGGTGGGGTCAAACATCCTGGCATGGTGATCAGCAGGGCGTCCCGGGAACGGATACCAGCCTTGAAAAATTGTGAGGCGAGTAGCAGATTAAGCACTGGGAAAAGAAGGAAGCTTGGGGACCAGTCACCCCTTTTTGGGAAGGGGTTTGCACTAAACCAATTTTCTTACACCAGAAGAGCCTTTCTTTCCGAGGTGGGGATGGGAGCTTTTTAGCAGCAAAATCCCGAGGGTTCCACTAGTTGGCGCCAGTGTGGTGAGCACACAAGGCACCGAGCAGCACTTCCTGGGTCATCGCTGAGCTCTGGGAAGGGAGACAAGCTGGTGGTTTGTTTTGTTTTTGTTTTTGACAGGTCTAGCCCTGGCTGTTCTTGGACTCACTGTGTGGATCAGGCTGTCATTGAACTCAGAGAGACCTGTCTGCCTTTGCCTCCTAAATGCTGGAATTAAAGGCATATTATACAACCATGCCAGACCCTCGGGTCGCATTCCAAAGCCACTCTTCCTAATCCAGGTTTAAGACTGGAAGAGTATGCTGCTTTGGTACATGACTTCATGAATTCAGGAAACTTGGTGCTAATGGGTTCATTTTATTGGGGGTGGGGTGGGGGAAAGGACCCCAGCAAGGGTTTCTGTAATGACTATCTTTGGAGCTATGTTTTCAAGACAAGTCTGAGGACTGGAGGGATGGCTCAGAGGTTAAGAGCACTGGCTGCTCTTCCAGATGTCCTGAGTTCAATTCCCAGCAACCACATGGTGGCTCACAACCATCCATAATGAGATCTGGCGCCCTCTTCTGTCATGCAGGGCTACACGCAGACAGAACACTGTATACATAATAAATCTTAAAAAAAAAAAAAAAGGTCTGGCAATACTGTTGGCAGACCCCACAACTTGTCTTGTAACAGGACTGGAAATCTCAATGGAGCAGTAAATAACCTGAGGTAGATCAGAAGCACTTAACACTGGCCTGACTCCTCTCCTCTTTTTTCCTATTCCTGTGGCGAACGGTAATTCGATGTCAACTAAGGATGCTGTTAGGGAGCTCACCTACCCAGCTTGTTCTGCCCTCTCACCTCTAACATCTGGCCCCAGCAGCTGGACCTGTCTGGATTCCATCTGACTTCAAACAGTAAAGCCAGAGAGGCCCTGAGGCCCGAGCTTGGCAGCAGAGTTCCTTGTTGGGTTCAGGTGGTGCTCCAACCAACAGGTGGCTTTCCATGTTTCTCCAGCCCCGCCCATCCTGTAGCTTAAATGAAATGCACTATTAAACAGACTAGTCTTTCAGAAGGGAGACAGAGTGTATGTTTGTATAGGAATCAAAGTTATGTAGTTAAAACAGCATAGTAACCATAAATGGAGTCCAAAGACAAACTTTGAAAATTTTCATTGATAACCATTTTTTTGGTCACAAATGTGTGGTTTTCCTGTCCCATACAGCTCCCTGCCTTGTAGACATTGTTATAGACTAAAACTTCTACAGCTTCTCCCTCCGTCATAACAAATTAGGGCTTTGTGAGCTGTAGATCATTTTGTACGGCATTATGTCTACGATTGATGATAAAAAGTAAAAAAGGTGTGCTTGGCCCTTTGTAGCAATGGGCAAATCTGTCTTGGTTTGGTGTTTTCAGAAGGATGTTATAGCAATGGAGAATGGTAGGCTGGGAATGGGATGAAGAGGGTAACATTAAGAGGGCTGTGAACTCCCTGCACTTGGGAGGCAGAGGCAGGTGAACCTCTCAGTTCAAGAACACCCTCGTCTACAGAGCTGGTTCTAAGACAGCCAAGGCTACACAAAGAAACCCTGTCTTGAAAAATAAAACAACAAAAAAGACGGCCATGAACTCATTTTTTTTTGGTAGAGTATCATGATGGATCATCTAGTATGTACCTTTAACTTCACAAACTTTTGTGACTATCTTTTGGATCCTTTAACACTTGTCACCAGGCCTGGTGGTGCAGGCCTCTAGTCTCAGCTGCTTGGGAGGCTGATGGGGGAAGGATCACAAGTTCAAGGCCCGCCTGCACTACATAGTGAATTTAAGGCCAGCTCGGACAAGTTAGTAAGGAGGCCAGTCCATTGTTTGTCTTCTAAGTGCTGGGGGTTAGGCTGAGCCAACTCTGCCTCCTTGGCAGTTATATACAACTAGCATCTATATCTGCCTTTTCAAGCCACACATAATTCCTTATCAAATAAAACTCTGAAGAACTTTTTTTTTCTTTTCTGACACAGGGTCTCACCCACTGTATATCCTGGCTGTCCAGGAACTCACTGTAGACCAGGCTGGCCTCAGACTCCCTGCCTCCTGTGTGCTGTGACTAAAGGAAGACATCTTCATTCATAGCTAACGAGGTTGTTGTATTTCTCCTTTGCTGGGGATCAAATCTAGCAACCCTTTCGTGCTGGACAAAAACTTGAGTACCTCAGTCCAGAAATTGTTTGCATTTATTTTTGGTTTGCATATTCATGTCTGCATACACCATGGCATGCATATGGAGGTCAGAAGTCTGCTCGCAGGCGTTGGTTCTCCTGCAGTGCGGGTCCCAAGGATGAAGCCAAGGTCATCCGGCCTGACAAGAGCAAGTGCCTTTACCTGTGGAGCCTTCTGTCTGATCCAGGGATTTTATTTTATTTTGTGGTTTGCTTTTGAACCAGGACTGACCTTGAACTGATCCTCCTGTGTCTACCTTCCAAGGGTTGGGATTACAAGCATATGCTACCATACCTAACTAGGAATTTGATTTTGAATCCATCTCCAGTGACATCTCTGAGATCCCATTCAAATGATTCTGGAATAGTATATTATGTAATAAAGTTTCTAAGTGAGCCCAGAGCCCAGTTCCATGTGCACTTTTCAGGTAACAAGATGGGCCATGCAGTGATTATGAGCATCGTATTGGATTGTTCCTTTCTAGCAAACAACACAAAACAAAAACAAGGAGGGGAAAAGTTGTTTGCTTTGTGTTTTAGGTGGGATTTTGCTATATAGGCCAGGCTAGCTTTGAAATCAGTCCTGCTGCTGGGCATTGGTGGCACAAGCCTTTAGTCCCAGCACTCAGGAGACAGAAGTAGGTGGATCTCTGAGTTCAAGGCTAGCCTGGTTTACAAAGTGAGTTCCAAAGCTACACAGAGGAAACCTGTCTTGAAAAGCCAAGGGGGGGGCGAGGAGCTGGAGAGATGCCTCAGCGGTTAAGAGCACTGGCTATTCTTCCAGAGGTCGTGAGTTCAATTCCCAGCAACCATATGGTGGCTCACAACCATCTGCAATGAGATCTGGTGCCCTCTTCTGGCCTGCAGGGATACATGCAGTCAGAAAACTGCATAATAAATACATCTTTTTAAAAAAAGTCCAGGAGGTTCTTTTGCTCTTTCTTAAGATTTTTTTTTTTCTGAGACAGGGTTTCTCTGTATTGTTTTGGAGGCTGTCCTCTGTAGGCCAGGCTGGCCTCGAATTCACATAGATCTGCCTGCCTCTGCCTCCTGAGTGCTGGGATTAAAGGCGTGTGCCACCAACGCCCAGCAAGATTTCTATCTGAGTATAGGCCTGAGGAAGCTGTGAAGGGCACCAGACCCTATGGATCTGGAGTTACAGACAGTTGTGAATTGTCTGACAAGGGTTCACAACTGCCAAACTCGGGTCCTACAGAAACTGTCCTAGTCCCTGCTCTTCTGCTGTGAAGAGACACCATGACCAAGGCAACTCTTTTTTTTTTTTTAATTTTAAATAGCTTGTTTTACATGTCAATCCCAGTTCCCTCTCCCTCCCCTCCTCCCGCACTCCCCTTCCACCCTCCCTCCCACCCTATTGCCAAATCCTTCCACATAGGGGATGTCTAGAGTCTATCATTTTACTCTTGGTAGGGTCAAGGCACTCCCCTAAGAGTCCAGGCTGAGAGAGCATCTCTCTTTGTGCTATAGGCACATGAAGACAGATTGTATACCAGGGATAGACACTGATCCACAGCTCAGAGCCCCATAGGTTGTCCAGGCCTTCTCACTGACACTCACATTTGGGGGTCCAGATCAGTCCCATTCTGGCCTCCCCCCTGTCGGTCTGGGGTCCAAGAGCACTCCCCTGTTCAGATCAGCTGTCTCTGCTGGTTTTGCCAGCCCATTCTTTGCCAATTTGCTCATCATTCCTCTCTCTCTGTCACTGGGTTCCTTGGGTTCAGTTCAGTGCTTAGTTGTGTGTTTGCCTCTGCTTCCATCAGTCCCAGGATGAAGGCTCCCGGATAGTTATAGACATCAAGTTCATTATCAGGAATGGGCATTCGAGGTGGTCCTTCGACTATTGCTTAGCTTGCCAATTGATGTTATACCTTTAGATCACTCGAGGTCACTCTGGTGCCTGATCTGTCTTCGATCCTATGATTCCCTCTTCCCCCTATTCTACCCCCACCCCCTCAACTTCCTGTTCCCCCATGACCAACTCCCTTCCTCTTTACCCCCTCTATTCTTCCCAGGTCCCACTACCCCCCCCTCGCCCTGTTCCCCATCCATTCAGAGGATCTTGTCTCCATCCTCTTCTCTTGGGTACCATGCATATATGCATATCTTTTAGGTTCTTTCCTGTTTCCCAGACTCTCTATCTGTGGAAGTGCAGACTGGCACTATCCTGATCCATATCTAAAATCCATATATGAGTGAGTACATACCATGTTTGTCTTTTTGCGACTGGGTTACCTCACTCATGATGGTTTCTTCCAGTGCTATCCATTTCCCTGCGAATTTCAAGATTCCATTGTTTTTTTCTGCTGAGTAATACTCCATTGTGTAAATGTACCACATTTTCTCTATCCACTCTTGAGGGGCATCTAGGTTGCTTCCAGGTTCTGGCTATTACAAACAATGCTGCTATGAACATAGTGGAGCAGATGCCCTTGTTGTATGAACCTGCCTCATTTGTCCAAATGGATCAAAGATCTCAACATACATCCAGCCACATTGAAACTTTTAGAAGAGAAAGTGGGAGATACTCTTCAACGAGTTGGTACAGGAGACCACTTCCTAAACATAACACCAGTGGCACAGGCACTGAGATCAACAATTAACAAATGGGACCTTCTGAAACTAAAAAGCTTCTGTAAGGCAAAGGACACAATCAAAAAGACAAAAAGGCAGGCCACAGAATGGGAAAAGATATTCACTAACCCTACATCTGACAGAGGGCTAATCTCCAAAATTTACAAAGAACTCAAGAAACAAGTCTCCAAAACACCAAAGGATCCACTTGAAAGGTGGAGTACAGAGCTAAATAGAGAATTCTCAGTAGAGGAGGCTAAAATGGCCAAGAGACACTTAAGAAAGTGCTCAACATCCTTAGCCATCAGGGAAATGCAAATCAAAACAGCTCTGAGATACCATCTTACTCCTGTCAGAATGGCTAGAATCAAAAACACCGAAGACAATTTATGCTGGAGGGGATGTGGAGAGAGAGGAACACTCCTCCACTGCTGGTGGGAATGCCAACTCATACAGCCTCTTTGGAAATCAGTATGGAGATTCCTCAGGAAAATGGGAATTAATCTACCACTAGACCCAGCAATTCCACTCTTAGGCATTTGACCAAGGCAACTCTTAGAAATAAAGTATTTAACTGGGGGCTGGCTTACAGTTTCAGAGGCTAGTCCATGATCATCATGGCAGGAAGCAGACAGGCACTGCACTGGAGCAGTAAATGAGAGCTCTACATCCTGATCCACAGGCAGCAAGCAGAGAGGCAGACAGACTAACAGACACTGGTCCTGGCACTGGTTTTTGAAATTTCAAAGCCCACCCTCAGTGTCACACTTCCAAGAGGCTGCACCTCTTAATCCTTCCCAAACAATTCACTGGGGACTAAACATGCAAATATATGAGTCTATGGGTACCATTGGTGTTCAACTACCACACACAGTGTGCACTCCTAACTAACTACCATTGGTGTTCAACCACCACACACAGCATGCACTCCTAACTGATGAGCCGTCGTCTCTCCAAGCTAAGAATGACCTGCATTCTTTCTTACACTCTTTTCTTCCTACCCACATATATTAGTTACTGTATTGTGGCCCTGGCCAAATAACAGATAAAAGGAGGAAACATTAATCTTGGCTCAGTTTCACAGATTATAGTACACAAAATTGGGGGCCTCTTTTCCTTTGTCCTGGTTTTCATTTATTGTATAAATTGAGTATTACATGATGAGTTGACATTACCCCTCCAGATATAGGAACTTAACAGATGAAGTCAGACGTTTTAGAATCTGTTTATGTTGCTCTCACAGCTGTGGATTTTTAGATTTAAGCTTGAAGTGTTAGATCATCAAAGCTCCTCCTGTCTGTGGACAGCACAGAATCCATTCTACTCTGAATGAATGAAGAGCTGGAGAACAGGGGTGTGAGAGATGGCCCCGCGATTGAGAGCACTGGCTGCTGTTCCACAGGCTTGGGTTTGGTTAGCAGCACTGTGGGACAGCTCAGTCACCTGTAACTGCAGCCCTCTTCTGCTGCACACATATGGGGCACACATCCACAAACCAAGTTTCAAAGGGTGGGATACCTTTTAAGAACAGTGAACTGGACCGTTTGTGGCTCTGCCGTGACTTCAGTGACTTCAGGTTTCCATGGGAGGTGGCGGAAGAGAACATTTACTGAAAGAAGTTGATGTTAGTCCCTGGAGGTCTTTGTGATACTGGAGTCTACTCTTTAATCCGAACAGGTAAGATCTGAGCCAACAGTGCTTTGTCTGTGCCGCACATCCACAGCTGATGTCCTTCAACAAACCCAATGGCCTGCTCAGCCCGGCCAGAAACCAACCCTCAACTCCAGAGGCTGGACAGCATGACAGCGGGGATGTGTGGAGGAGAAGGTTCACTCCATGGCAGCAAGGAAGAAGAGAAAGGTGGGATTAGGTGTCCTCCTCGAATGGACCCTGCCACACATTTCCTCCAGCTAGGCTTCATCTCCCAAAGTGTCCACTATTTCTCCAAATGGTCATACCCACTGGAGACCAAACACAGCACATGAGCTAAAGTGTCACACTGTGTGAACTGTCATACCGACAGCATGTTAACAGTATTTCTGTGTGTCCTTCCCTGGAAGAAAAACCAAAATTAACTTTTAAATATGTTTTCATTTCTTGGGCGTGTGCATGAGAGGACAGCTTTCAGAAGCTGGACCACTCCCAGGGTCCACGTGATCAAACCGAGGTTGCGATGCTTGAGGCGAGTGCTTTTCCTGCTGAGCCAGAGTCGGCTTCATGCCACAGGGTTTGTTTTGTTTCTTCGCAACTCAGCCTTGCCTACATCCGTGTTCTTACCTCTGGGCCTTCTTTAACTCCCTCACAGCCTTCCTCCCCTCCTACAGACCTTGCCTTGATGATACAAAAGCAGCATGGCTACAGGAACACCTGTAACGCCTGTGTGGCGCCTGCTCCTGCTGGCCTTCATGCTACCTGTGAGAACTTTACTGTGCACTTCATTATTTTGTTGATGGGAATTGAGTCCAGTCTCAGGCATGCTCAAGCCGTCTCTCCAGTCCCTTAATTATTATTGAGACAGGGTTTTTGGCCTTGAATAGGTGAAGGATGACCTTGAAATGATCCCTGTGATTGCTAGGCAAGCACTTGTAACACTGAAGAACCAGCTCCAGGAGGTCAGAGAAACTGGAGAGATGTTGAGTCTGCAGATGTTAAACACACACACTGAAGGCTTATCTGAGGGCCAAGGCTTAATTCTTCATGTTATTTTAGTGGGTTGGAGAAGGATGCTTGTTAACTAGGTGTCCCACAAATGGCTAACAGCAGAAGTATACAAGCTCCTGTACCTTGGGAGTCTAACATGAGAC